GGATGTGGAGAAAAAGGAACCCTCATACACTGCTGGTGGGGCTGTAAATTGGTACAGCCACTCTGGAAAACAGAATGGAGATTCCTCAAAAAACTAAGAATGGATCTACCATATGATCCAGCAATCCCTCTACTGGGTATTTACCCCAAAGACTTGAAAACCCGTATTCTTAAAGATATTTGCACACCGATGTCAATAACAGCATTCTTCACGGTGGTCAGGACACGGAAGCAACTGAAGTGTCCTACGATAGATGATTGGCTGTGGTACATATGTACAATGGAATGTTACTCAGCTATAAGAAGAGATGAAATACTGCCATTTGCGACAACATGGGTGGCCCTCAAGACAATCGTAAAAGTGAAATAAGCCAGACAGAAAAATTTAAAAATCACGTGGTATCATTTATATGTGGGATATAAACCTAAAAGCAACAAATAAGCAAGACAAACAAACAGAGACTCATGGACATGGACAATAGAGTAGTGATTACCAGAGAGTAGGGGTTGGGGAGGAGGGGAGAAGTAGATGGAGTAAAGGGAGTCAAATAGAGGTTAGTAGGAGAGTGCGAAGTGGCTAAAGGGGATCAAATACATGGTAGTTAAAGGAAACTGGACTTTGGGTGGTAATCACACAATAGAATATATAGATGTCAAATTATAATGTACACCTGAAAATTATATAATCATATTAACCAATGTTACCCCAATAAACTTAATAAAAAAATAAAAATAAATGAAAAATGAAAATTTGAATGGGTTTGCCAAAAAGAGAGAGCTTTGTTAAAGAAAAAGGGCGGTGGGGGGAGAAAAAATATACACAATTTTTGTTTCTCTATAAAAAGAAACTTACTGTATAAATAATGACTGAATCAACTACAGATTGTCTGCAGGTTATTTAATTTGTCATCATACATGGCTGCCTAAAAAGACAGAAAATAAACCATCCAGAGAGCCCTCCAAAGTATTTGTTACACTATACTTCATACATCTTAAAACATCGTTTCCTTAAATTTTATTATAAGGCAATTGAGAAACCAAAAAAAGGACCTTACTGGTATGGTTAATCCATATTCATACTTCATAGAGAACACAAGGTTTTATCCAACTTACTTGTAGGACAGATAGAATCATCAAAAACCTCAGCTTCAGATCCAGACTCATCCTCATCACTCTCCAAGCTGGATTCTTCTTCACTTGATTCATCACTATCCTCATCCTCATCTAAGGAGAGAGGAAAACACTGTTAATAAGAAGAGAAGTTCCTGCGTTAAACTGAATCTCAGATTTTAAAAATATTTTCAATGAGTTAGTCACTAGGAAAATAACAGAGATAAAGAAGAAATGACTCAATACTTTTAGAAGAGGTTAAAGACATAGAGACCATATGCCTGCAGAAGGTTGTACAATTAATTTCAACGCATCAGGTCAGAGAGGGTTGAGACTAGGCTGCCAAACTGTTTATGCTATGACCCACCTAACACACTCTTGAAATTAAATTTTAAAATTCAATTTAAGAATTATATGAAATTATATAGGTCCACAATTCCTAAATCATAGTGCTCTGAAAGCAGAGAAGATGTTCACAATTTATCTGAAGAAATGCTATTTATAATCTTTATTTAACCTACTTAGCATTAATAATAATAATGTATGTCTTGCTACAGAATTACTGAGCTGTTTGATTTAGAGATCCTGCACCAAACTCTGCTGGGGTGTTAGTGACAAAGATTCTCCCTGACCAAACTTGATTCAGGCTCCTCTGAGTCCTCTTTCTGACTAGTCTTTGACCTTGAGCTCTGTCCTTGGCCCATTTAGTCTAGTTTTAGCAAGAATCCTGCTAAGTCAGTTTAGTAAAAATCGCCCACCATTGATATCTGATCAAGTTCCTTATTCTCTGCCCTCAATATCTGACCACTCTGGCCTTCCTTCAGCCAAAATCCTGTGAAATCAGTTTAGCAAAGGATTACCTCTTAACAATTTTCCATCCACTGACCTCCACTCTGCTCTTTGGCTATAAATCTCTACTTGTCTTTGTTATATTCAGAGTCAAGCTGATTTCTCTCCCTTCCTACAAAATCCCATTGTAGTTGTCCCCCGTAAATAAAGTCTGCTTTATTATTCTTTAACAAGTATTATGAATAATTTCTTTAACAATGTTACATATGATATCTTTTATAAAATATAAAGAATTTTGAATAGTAAAACACATCTGCCCCCAAGAGTTTTGGATAAGGAATTGTAGAACGCCCACACCCAATTCTGCCCCATTTTTTTAAAAAAACACCTTGAAGACTTCTGTGAACCACAGATCATCAATTAGCAATTTCAATTTTACAGAACATCAAGTTGGAGATAAGAGGTACACCTCATAATCTCTAGAAGATTTCTTAAATTTAAGCTCTCTCTTAAAATTACTTTAAGTGATCTGTACCATCTTATGAAATGAGTCATCAAACTTTAAAATAATATCTTAAAATTCTTACATAGACTTCTGCTTTTAGGAAGATGAGGTAGGCCTACTTTTCCTGATTCCTCCCACTAAATACAGCTAAAGACTCTGAATAGTATAAGTAAAAAAAACCTTAAGGCAGATAAACTATTAATATTATAAACTGAATATTATAAGTAAAAAAAAAAATAAGAAGGCAGATAAACTATGCACCTCAGAACCTGAGGAACAACACTGTGGTGAGTTCTCAGTGTCTTCTTTTTGCCTCATATACTTCAGACTTGGAGATGAATAAATTAGTGACTGTAAACACCAACAAGCACAGATATAAAAAGGCCCCATAAGAGCCTATTCTCTCTAGCCAAATGACCAGTAAAGAGGTAGCCTAGCAAGACAGAAAACTTTTAGACAATACTCCCATCACCCATCACATAAAAAACAAAACAAAACAAAACTGTGGTCCCACTCCCACCCACGGCAAAGCCAAGTAGGGAGCCTAGACATCTACCCTTGCAAAGTTGTAATGAGGCACACCAACATTCCCACCAGGATGGTGTTAGAGAAGTCCGAATAGGGAATAGAAATTTTCATTACTTCTGTCTGGTAATCAGTCTACTCCTGCACCATTAAGATGTCTGTAGAGACCCCATAGGTAACCTGAACTTTTACTCTCACTTGGCAGTAAAAAGGTTCCCTTATCCCTCTCCACAGAGGCAGTGTCCGAAGAGCCCTAGTGTAGAGTCAGGATTTTCAACTCTGCCCAGAGCCACCAAGGCCATCCCCAGCACATCATCAGTAGAGACTATGTGAGGGAGCTGGAATTCCATCTGCATATGGCAGTAAGTAGGAGATCCCCTTTCTGCTAGGTGACTATAAGAGCTGAGTATCTCCACCTGGCAGTAAGAAGCAGGCACCCATCCTTTTCTCTGGCAAAGCAGTGTTAGAGAAAGCCAAGTAAAACAGAAGATTTTAATGAGATACAGAGTCTCATAACATAATATGAAAGTTTCTGGGTTTCAATAGAAAGTCACTCATCATCCCAAGTACCAGGGAGATCTCCAACTGAATACAAAAAAAAGAAACCATAAATGCCAACACTAAGATGACAGAAGTGTTAGAATTATTTGACAAAGTATTTAAAACAGCCATGATAAAAATGCTTCGATGAGCAAATATGAATACACTTGAAGCAAAAATGAAAAAAAGAAAACTGCAAAGCTTCACTAAATACAGTCTCAGGAAAAAAAAAAAAACAAAGAAAAAAGAAAAGCTATAAAGAGGAAGTAAGTAGAAATTTTATTTTAAACTATAATTACTAGAATAAAAACTCAATGAATAAGATCAACATCAGAATGGGGAAAACAGAGAAAGAATCAGTGAACTTGAAAATAGAACAATAGACATTCATCAACTTGAACAACTGAAAGTAAATAGACTGCAAAATGAACAAACCAAACCCAAACCCCAGAGCCTCAGGGACCTATGAGACTATAATGAAAGATTTAACATTCATGCCACTGGAATACCAGAAGGAATGAAGACAGAGGGAATCTTTAAAAGTACTTGAAGATATAATGGTTGAAAACTTCTAAAATTTGGCAAAAGACATAAACCTGCAGATTAAATAAGCTGACTAAATCCAAAGGAGGAAAAGCTCAAAGGAGTCTACACTAAGACAGATAACAGTCAAATTCTGAAAATTAAAGACAAAAAGCAAATCTTGAAGGCAGTGAGAAAAAAGTGATACTTTACCTGTAGAGGATAAACAATTGAGTATCAGAGTGTTTCTCACCAAGAAAAAAGAATTTTAAAAAAACGAGGATAGTTTAAGGGTCCTCTGGGACAACTGTACAACATTCACATCATAGGGTATTAGAAGGAGAAAAGAGAGCGCAAGGAATTGAAAGATTATTTGAAGAAATAATGATGAAAACTATCTCTGACCTGGTGAAGGAAATAGACATACAAGGCCAGGAAGAACAGAGAGTCCCAAACAAAATGAACCTGAACAGGCCCACACCAAGGCACATCATAATGAAAATGCCAAAGATTAAAAACAAAGAAAGAATCTTAAAAGCAAAAAGAAAAAAGCAATTAGTTATCTACAAAGGAGTTCCCAAAAGACTGTCAGCTGATTTCTCAGCAGAAACTTTGCAGGCCAGAAGGGACTGGCACAAAATTTTCATCTACAAAGTCCCAAAAGACTGTCAGCTGATTTCTCAGCAGAAACTTTGCAGGCCAGAAGGGACTGGCACAAAATATTCAAAGTGATAAAAGACAAGGACCTATAACCAAGGCTACTCTACCCATCAAAGCTATCATTTAGAATAGCTTTTCTGAGCAGAGTAGTCCTGGTTTTAGAACGTCCCAGACAAGAAAAAGCTAAAGGAGTTCATCATGAACAAACCAGCATTACAAGAAATGTTAAAGAGACAAGAAGAAGGAGAAAGAAGGAGGAGGAGGAGGAGAAAAAGTAGGGGGGGGAAAGGCCAAAAATATGAATAACAAAATGGCAATAACTACATATCTATCAACAATTGCTTTAAATGTAAATAGATTTAATGTTCCAATCAAAAGACATAGAGTGGCTGAATGGATAAGAAAATAAGACCCTTATATACATTGCCTACAAGAGAGTCACTTCAGATAGAAAGGTAGAGAGGTAGAATATATTTCATGAAAATGGAAACAAAAACAAAGAACTAGAGTAGCAATATTTATATAAGACAAAATAGACTTTATTTTGACATTATGTGTTTTCTTCTTCTTTTTTTTCTTTCAAAATAAACTTTCAAATAAAGGTTATAGCAAGAGACAAAGAAGGTCCCAGTAATCCCACTTCTGGGCATTTATCTGAAGAAATACAAAACACTAATTTGAAAAGACATGCATCTACATGTTCATTGCAGCATTATTTACAATAGCCAAGATATGGAAGTAATCTGTGTCCATCAATAGACAAATAGATACAGAAGAAGTTGTACATATACACAATGGAATATTACTTAGCCATAAAAAAGAATGAAATCTTGTCATCTGGAATAACATGGATGGACCTAGAGAGCATTATACTAAATAAGTCAGAGAGAGAAAGACAAATACCGTATGATTTCATTTAAATCTAAAAAATAAAATAAACACAAAACAGAAACAATCTCATAGATACAGAGAATATTTTGATGGTCGCCAAATGGGGGAAAGAGGAAAAGTAATTAAGAAGTACAAAGTAGTAGTTATAAAAGTCATGAAGATGTAAAGGAATATAGTCAATAATATTGTAATCCCTATGTACGGTGTCAGATAGTGTCAGATGTAATACCTACATATGGGTACTAGATTTATTGGGGTGATCACTTTGTAAATTATATAAATGTCTAATTACTATATTGTACACCTGAAACTAATATTTTATGTCAACAGTAATTGAAAAATTAAAAAATTATTATAAAGAAATAAAAGGAATCTTTGAACATCAGGAAAAAAGAAAGAACATGGTAAGCAAAAATGTAGATAAATACAATAGGCTTTCTTCCTCTCTTTCAGTGTTCAAATTATGTTTGATGATTGAAGCCAAAATTATAACATTGTCTGATATGGTTATAGATATACCTAGAGGAAATACTCAACATAATAATAATATAATAAAAATAGTATGATGGAGATAAAGGGATATAAAGATAGGTAAGAATTCTTAAACTGGTAAAGTGATGATATTGGTGGACTCGAATAAATTATGTATATATAACATAATATATAGAACAACCACTTAAAATATTATACAAAGAAATACACTCAAAAACACAAGACAAAATTAAAATGGAATTCTAAAAAATGTTCAAGTAACCCACAGGAGGATAGGAAAAAGGGAAAAAAGACATAAACAGAGAATAAGAACAAATTTAAAAATGATAGATTTAAAACCAAATATATCAAATATAAATGATTTAAATACACCAATTAAAAGACAGAGTAGATGAAAAACATTATCTAACCATATGCTTCACTTCATATATCTACACATATATATATATATTTCACTCCAAATATGTATACATACATATATTTATATTCAAGTTGAAAATAAAAAGAGAGAAAAGATATATCGTGAAAATATTAATCAAAGCAAAGCAGGAGTGGCTAAATTAATATCAGATAAAATAGACTTCAGAGCATAGAAAATCACTAGAGACAAAGTAAAACCTTGTATAATGATAAGTGTCAAGATGCCATGACAATCCTATATGTGTATACATAAAACGACAGCTGCAAAATATGTAAAGCATAAACTAGTAGAAATAAAAAGAAAAATAGACAAATCCATAATTATACCTGGAGACGTCAACCCCCATCTCTCAACATTGAATAGGATGACTATACAGAAAATCAGTAAGAATATAGAAGACCCGAACAGCACCATCAACCAACAGAACTAGTTGATAATAATAGAACACTTCACCCAAAATAGCAGAATACACATACTTTGCAAGTGCCCACAGAACATATACCAAGACAGACCATTAAACCACATGTAGACCAAGAACAAATCTCAACAACTATAAAAGAATTGAAATTGTACAGAATGTGTTCTCTGACCACAATAGAATCAAACAAGAAATTAATAACAGAAAGATAACAGAAAAATCTCAAAACACTCAGACCTAAACAACATACTTCTATATAATCCATGGAGCCCAGAAGACACCTCAGTGTAAATTTTAAGACTATATTGACCTGAATTAAAATGAAAATGCAACTTATTATAATTTGTGGAATATAGTTAAAGCAATGTCGAGAAAGAAATTTAAAGTGCCATATTAGAAAAGAGGACAAGTCTCAAACTAATAATTTAAGCTCCCACCTGAAAATCTCAAAACAGAAGTGCAAAATAAATCTAAAGCAAGCAATAGGAGGGTAACAATGAAGATAACAGTAGAAATCAATAAAATTGAAAGCAGAAAAACAATAGACAAAATCACTTATATGAAGAGCCCATTTATTCTCAAGATCAATCGAACTGACAAACCTCCAGCCAGTGTAAATAAATAAATAAATAAAATAGTGAACAAACAAGTTACCAGTGTAAAGAATGCAAGAGATGATATTACTACAAACCCACACTGCATGTTTTAAAAGATAACAAGGAAATATAATGAACATCTTGATGCACATAAATTAGGCAACTTAGATGAAATAGACCAATTCCCCAAAGATACTATCACAACTCACTCAATATGAAATAGATAACAACTATTAAGAATATTGAATTTGTAATTTTAAAACTCCTCTGAAGAAATCTACTGGTCTAAATAGTTTCACTAGAGAACTCTACAAAACACTTAAGGAAGAATTACCGCTCTCTACACAATACCTTCCAGAAAATCAAAGAGGAGAGAAAACTTCCAAATTCTCATTCTGGAGCTAGTATCATCCTGATACTAAAACCAAACAAAGACAGTACAAAAATAATAATAATAATAAAACTACAGATCAATGATCCTCATGAACACAGACAAAATTTCTTAATAAAATTGCTTAATAATATTCGCAAATAGAATTATGCAATATATAAAAAGAATCATATGCTATACCACGGGAGTTTTATTTCAAGGGTGCAAGTCTGAATCAATAATCAGTGAATGTAACCCATCATATTAAAAAAAATCATATAATCACATAATCATCAATCAATGCAGAAAAGCATCTGACAAAATCCAATACCCACTCATGATAAAAAAAAAAAAAAACTCATGAAAAATAGGAACAGAATGGAACTTCCTCTGTGAAATACCTACCAGGTAGCATATTTAATGGTGAAAGATTGAATGCTTTTCTCTGCTAATATTGGGAATAAGGAAAGGATATCAGCTCTCAGCATTCTATTTCACTATAGTACTGAGTGTTCTAAATAGCACAATAAGGCAAGAAAAGGAAATTGGCACACAGATCAGAAATTAATACATTTCTCCTATTTGCAGATGAAATATATTATCCTAGAAATGCCTAAGAAATCTATCAAAAACTTCTAAATTAATAAATGAGGTCATAAGATATGAGATAAAAATCTAAAAAGCAATCGTCTTTTTATATACAAGTGGTCCTTGATTTACAGTGGGATACATGAACTCATCATAAGTTGAAAATATTTTAAATTAAAAATGCATTTAACACTACACTGTAGAGTATCATTTTTCTATCCTCATGATCATGTGGCTGACTGGAAGATGTGGCTCACTGCCACCACTCAGCATCATTAGAGAATATTGTACTGCATATTGCTAGCCTGGGAAAATATCAAAATCCAAAATTTGAAGTACAGTTTCTACTGCATGTATATTGCTTTTGCACCATGGTAAAGTCAAAAAATTGTAAGTTAATCAGGGACCGTCTGCAGTAGCGTGAGCATGTGGCACTGAGATTAAAAAATAAAATAGCATTTTAAATCGCTCAAAAAATGGAAATATTTAGGTATAAATCTAACAAAACATTAACATGAATTGTATGTTGAAACTACACAATGCTGACAGAGAAATCAAAGCTCTAATAAATATATACTGTGTTCACACAACATAATAAAGATGCCAATTCTCCACAAATTGATATAAAGGTTTAACACAATTAAACCTATCAAAATTCCAACAAGATTTTTTTGTTGTTGGAAATATGAAAATTATTCTAAATATGAAAATTATTCTAAAATATGGAAAGATAAAGGAAGAAGAATAGCTAAAACAATGTTAAAAAAGAATAAAGGGGGAGGAACTAGTATACCTGATTTCAGGACTCAATAGCTACTGTAATCAAGACTGTAGTATTGGTGGAGAGATAACATACAGATCAATAGAACATAATAGATAATCCAGAAATAGATCCACAGAAATAGGCCCAAATGATTTTTGACAAAGATCAAAAGCAATTCAATGGAAGAGCAATAGTCTTTTTAACAAACGGAGCTAGAAAAGTTAGACAGTCATAGGAGAAAAAAAAAAAAACCTTGACCTAAGTCTTAAAACCTCACAAAAAAATTAAAACCAAATGGACCATGGACTTAAATGTAAATGTAAAATTATAAAACTATTATAAAACACAGGAGAAAATCTTTGGGACCTAAAGCTAGACAAAATTCTTAGACCTAATACCAAAACAAGATCCATAAAAGGAAAAATTGACAAATTGGACATCAACAAAGTTAAAAACTGTTGTCCCAAAAAGATCCTGTTAAGAGAATGAAAAGACAAGCTACATATTGGGAGAAAATCTTTGCAAACCATATATCTGACACAGAACTAGTATGTAGAGTATATAAAGAATTCTCAAAATTCAACAGTACGAAAGCAAACAATCCTGTTCAAACATAGGCAAAAGCCATGGAGACATTTTACCAAAGATATACAGTTGACAAATAAACAATTGAAAAGACATGCTTGTTAAATGAAACTACTCTATGCTATCTCATACCAGGTACACACAGATACACACACACAAACTCCAGATGGTTAGAGACCTAAAAGGTTTATATCTTCTCCTTTTTAACCTCCACAATGTCACTAAATTGTCTATTTTGTGATTTTTAAAAGTGTCTAATATATCCCTTAGTTATTTATTTCATGTTAATGAGAAAACTAGTATCATATATAAAAGATAAATACAAACCAGCATCTCCTTCAACCTCCTTTTTCTTTACCCGCTTAATCCTCTTCTTTAGAACTTTCATGAGGAAGTTGGCAAATTTATTGTTTTCTCCAAGGGCTGTTTGGAAACCAGCATAAAGCGCCTTTTCTTGTTCCTGGAGCTTATTGATTTCATTCTTTTTCTCTTCCATTTCTTTAAGAGTTTCATTTATTTTCCACTAAATGAACAAAAACAAAAACAAATGATAAAATATTTCTGATAAACTGGGTTCAGAGAATAACGCATATCACAATGTTAAGGGTACAGTTCTTTACACATTTTTTAAAATTTCTTCATAGAAGTTTATATTTCTGATATTTACAGAGCCATCATATATTTGGTTAAATTTTATAGTTCTTTTGTAAAAAAAAAAAAAAGAAAAAAAATCCAAATAGTTAAGTTCAGAATCGAATAAGATCAGTTTTTAAATGTTTAGATTCCTCAAAAAATCTAAATTAATTAAATTGAAATTTTTACTGATATGTGAATGTCAACTAATATTTCTGTGTGTATGGTCTGAAAAATAAAAGTTTTTTTCATAACTATATATGATAACTAAAATGAGAAGCTACATTGCATCTTAGGAAAGCTGATATATCTAAAAATGGATATCTCTATTCAGTATGTAATATCTATTTAGAATCTTTCTTCCTTTAAGACAAAGGTGATATAATTTACCTCTTTAAATTTAATATACATATATAAGAAATAAAGAAACTTAATTTTCTATAATATTTAATTATATATTACTCTGAAAATAGCTATCATATTTAAGAAACTCACCAAATTTTTTTCCAGTTATATTCATAAGGATGGCATATAATCAAAACTCAACTGTATATGGTAGCTAGTGACAACAAAAATATAAACTTTTGAAGTCCACAGATAAACTATAAGGCTCACTTTTGAAAATTTTATTCTACCTTACAGAATACACCAAATTCACTAAAAAATCTGACTTACTTTTCTCTGACCAAGGATACCAAAAACAGAGAGCAAGCAAGAATAATGGGGAAAGAAGAAAGGAGAGAAGACAAGAAAGGGATGAAGACTAGAACAAGGGAGGAAATTTAGTTGAGAAAAACAAAGAAGAACCAAGTTCCCTCCATAACTAAGGGCACAGCCAGCTAGCATTCTCCTGCCTGTTCATACTTGCATGTCCTGTTCTTCTTTGTCTAATGAATTAACACGCTCTTGAAGTATGTTCTCCTGTTTTTCAAAATTCTTGAGGAGAAGGATTTCTTGAAATAATGTGACATGGTGCAGGTCAGATAATTTCATCTGAGTATCTAGTTTCAGTTTCTGATGTCTCAGGAGATGGAGTTCTGCATCAAAAGTGATAGTCAGTTCTTTGATCTGAAGTGAAAAAAGATTTGAGGATATATTAGAAAAACAGGTAAAGATATTCTTTAAACTATCTAATACTACTAATTAGTTTGGGTAAAAGCATTTTCTCATTACGCCCTTACTATGGGTGAATTACATGGGTGTGTGTCATTGTATCTAGTCATATAAATCAATTCATCAATGGTCTTAAATTTATAGAAATGAACTTATTTGTCAAGTGGTAGGAACTTTGTAACTACAGTCCTTCCAGCTATTTCTTCACCATTGATAAAGCCATTGATCAAAAATTCCCTTCTTGTCAACGAGAGACAACCATCTGAATGAAAAAATATATTTGCAATGCCTCTGATAAAGGCCTAATATCCAAAATATAAAAAGAACTCACACAACTCAATAACAACAACAACAACAAAAAATGATCCAATTAAAAAATGGGCAGAGGACCCAAACAGACACTTCTCCCAAGAAGACATACAAAAGACCAATAAACATATGAAAAGATGCTCATCATCGCTAGCTATTAGGGAAATGCAAATCAAAACCACAATAAGATACCATCTCACACCTGTTAGAATAGCAATAATCAACAGGACAAGTAATAAGTGTTAGAGAGGATACAGAGTAAAAGGAACCCTCATATACTGCTGGTGGAACTGCAAATTGGTACAGCCACTATGAAAATTAGTATGGAGCTTCCTCAAAAAACTAAGAATTGATCTACCACGTGATCCAGGAATCCCTCTACTGAGTGTTTACTTCAAAGACTTGAAAACTCATATCCCAAAAGATATTTGCATACCAATGTTCATAGCAGCATTATTCATGGTGGCCAAGACATGGAAGCAACCAAAGTGTCCTACAATAGATGATTGGCTAAAGAAGCTGTGGTACGATGGAATATTATTCAGCCATAAGAAGAGATGAAATATTGCCATTTGTGACAACATGGATGGACCTTGAGATAATCATGCTAAGTGAAATAAGCCAGACAGAAAAGGTTGAAAATCACATGATATCACTTATGTGTAGGATATAAACCTAAAAGCAACAAATGAACTAAAGTTGAATATAAGGGTTTTGAGCTAAAGTAAGTTAGCTTTTATTTGATCAACTCCACTGCCAAAAAAAGAGAAAGCCAGAGTTAATCATATATGTGTGTGTGTGTATATATGTGTATCTGTACATATTATATATGCATATACACAGATTCGGTGCAGTTCCTACAAAGTAGCAATAACCTTCTTCTCAGAACCAGAACAACTAATCCTAAAATTGCTATGGAACCTCAAAAGGCTCTGAATAGCTAAGGAAAGCTCAAGAAAGAAAGAGAGAGAGAGTGAGAGAGAGAGAGAGACAGAGGAAGGAAGGAAGGAAGGAAGGAAGGAAGGAAGAATGCTCTTCTTGCTGTACTGAATGGTTTAAGTCAAAGACTGTGAGCTCTTTGATCATAGTGTTTATATCTATCTCCATTATATCCCTACAGTATCTCTACATTGCTTTTCATACAATAAACACCAAAAAATTATTTCCCTCAACTTATTTTGAAAATTTTCAAATCTACAGAACAGTATTTTTAAATAGATAAATATAATCATAGACCCACAGAAATCTGTTTAATCTTATTTTACAAATGAAGAAATTAAGGCTATAGGTGATTTTCCTGAGATCAAAGCTAATTCGTCACAGAGCTAAGAACCTAAGTATCCCAAGTCCTGGTCTAGACCTTATTCCACTGCCATCCTAACAATTTTAAATCCTCGGTTTTGCTCTGACTTTGGCACAGCTTCTCCCCTACCCCATCTCAAAGGAGATGAAGAAATCAAGAGAAAGCCCCGAGGGCTAATTCTCTTGAGGAAACTAATACAACAGGAAGAAGCAAACCATTTCATGTCTTTCTTTAGGCTGTACATGATGAAGAGCCCCAACTGTCAAAAGCTTATAATGAGTGAGGGCCCAGACTGGGGCTGAAGAAGAAGAAGAGGTCTCTGGGTTTGGGGCAGTGAAACTGTCAAAGAATTTCAGCTAGCTTTAAAAATAAATGAAGGAAAAGGAAAAATTAAACTGTATGTAAAGCTATAGACAAAGTGGGCTCCCCTTTAATGCTTGTTCAACAAATCTGAATTATTTTTAAATTTCTGTGGAGTCAGGACTATACTTTTTAGCACAATATCATCCTGAGACTGTACCCCACAGGTGTCCAAGTTTGTAAGGGTTATGCTTGTTTCATTCTCTCTTACCCTAGACAGCCTGTAAGTTGTATGAGAATAGAGAACATGTCCAGCTTGAGTACTGTTGCATTCCTACTAGCTAGCTAGCACTTTCCCTGCTCATAGAATGTCCAATAAATATTTTTTAATTAATAAAATAAATAAATTAGTCAATTAAATCAAAACTTTTTACTAAATATTTACTATATGTCTGGCATTGTACTGGACATTGAGGAAGAGGGGGAGAATCAGAAGTTTATGTGGCCCTTCCCTCAAGAACTATATAACCTAATTTGCAAGACAAAACTAATACACATAAAACAGCAAGTGCAAACCATGATAGGCTGATTGTAGGTACAATTGGAGTTTAGAAAAAGGAGACTATGTAATATAGACAGAAGATTCTGGAGAGGGTTTGGAACTGGGCTAAGTTTTGAATGATGACAATTTTGGAGGGAAGTCATTGCAGGTAGAAGGAAATAGCAAAGGAAAAGGCAGAGCTATGAAATTCATAATTGAGAGGGTAGAGGCGGGAAGCAGAAGAGTGAGAAGATAGGCCTGGATGAAGTAGAGATAACGGGTAAAGAATATGGTTGGGAAGCTATAGGGGATGCTTCATAGGGTGGAGCCGAAAAGGACAGAGTGAGGAAAAGGACTCTGTACAATTGGCGGTGAGGAGCTATTTATCCAGGGAAGATCCTTTTCCCTCCATATTTAGAGCACCTCCTGCACAACTGGCCCCAGGCTCTTTCTGATTTTCCTAGATGTTTTTCTAGCTCCAAACAATTATGACGCCAGTCATCACCATGAACATCCCACTAATGGAGCAAATCACATATTAAAAGCAGAGGGTGGTCTACTTTATCTGGAAGGTTTATAATTGTTCCATCTATCATCTGAAAGCTGCTCCACCACTTTCCTCTTACCATGATTTTAGGTAGATGCCAGTTAACATGGGTTTGTCCATAATGCTTAGTCAGCTTTCCAAAAAGAAAAAAATCGAAAAAATTCCAAAGTCCTGGGCAGAGCACAATGATTTTCAGAAGACCACTGATAGGTAGGAAGCTAAGCCATTAGTGAGTTGTAGGCCGGTCAGGTTTTGGGGAAGGTTAACGTAGAGAAATTTAAAACAAATTAAAAAGAAACTAGAGCTACTTCCCTGCTCCACTCTCTTTCAGCTTTAAATAGGCACAGTCTCACCCCTTACCCTGTTGGTCAAATACTGTTGCATGTATATGTTTTTAATTTCATCCCTCCTCATAATCTCCAATTCCACATCACTTGGATCTGCTTTTTCAAATTCTATTAACTTTGTATTATCTAGACCGAATGATGATGCCTTTGACGATCTAGACACTGAATCTCGTGTGGTCAAATCCCCATCCTTTCCAGAAGAGAGTCTGAGAAATCCTCCGCTTTGGCCTATAGACACTGCCTGTTCCATTTGAGGGGTCTTTTCACTCTTTCTTTCCGTGTTCTGAAGCTTAAAAGTTTGGAGAGTTTGTTCATCATAGTGAAATCTCTTTTCAGGAACTTCTTCCGGGTGTATCTGAGGAATTTGAGGAATGGGGATGTGCTTGGATATGTGAAGAGTTGACTGAATGTTCTTCAGCTCTTGTACCAGGCACTGTATTTCCTCAATGACAGCCACTTTAAGGTCTCTGAGAGAGACGATGCACTTGTTCATATTCATTTTCTTTGTATGGGTCTGATAAAAAAGAACAGAAAAGAAGCAAAATGACAACCACTTCATAATTATGATTTGCTGCTCTCCCATGACTGGTATGCCTAACAAAAATTCAAGATAAAAATTTATTTGATCATTCTTGTTCACTACTGAATTACTCTTCTCTATAGCTTTTAGGCTTTTCCCCGTTTATCCTCTCCAAAAGAAGGAAACAGTCTTGATGTGGCCTCTCATATCTCTCTGCTGGCTTGTAGGGCTGAGTTCCCCTGTCCTCTCCTCCCAAAACTCAGTGGAAGTCCTTCCTGAAGGCTTGTACTCAACCAAGTCCCAGGGAGGGGAAGTGACCTTCTTTGGTCAGGAACAGACAAGTAACTGCCCTTTCCTGATGGAAACTCAAATCTCATTGGCTTAGACTCACTTAGGGTTGCCCAACTAGGGCCAAATTATAATTTAGCCTTTTTCATTCTGTATTTTGGGCATATTATTGCTGTTACTCCTTGTGCAGGCAAGGTTATAATCCTGAATTTCAGTATCATGTCACACCAAGAGATTCCAGGACTCTTCCTTGGTTTCTTCTCCATTTATCTAAGCTCCATGCTCTGTGTCCCTTGTCTCCAGCCACAGGTGCCATACAGGCCCATGTCTCCCTCACTACCACCCTTCTTCCTTGTCTGTGTTTCCTAAATGCCCTTACCAGAGCCTATGGATCCATGCAACCCTGCTCCTGTGTGCCATTAGGCAGCTAGATGCATAGAGAGCTATTAAGAGTTACTTTGCATAAATATACTAATTAAAATAATAAAATGTCAAAAGGCACTTTTCCAAGCAGTCTTAACAAAACTTAAACCTGTATATTTACTATCTATGAAGCAAAAATACTGTAATAAAATAGAGGTAATGCTTTATGTACTCAAGAACAAACCGTTAAAAAGTTAAGGTTTAAACACGAAATCCAGTACTTGGGTAAATGGGGAACCAATTCTGAAGCATCTAGAGGATTGAGAATCAAGCTTAAAAGAACAAGCCCAAACCAGTCAAATGGCTGTAAGGCCTGCCTTCTAAAGGAGCCCTCTTTACACACCAACCCTTTCTATTTTTCCAAATACTACACATACCTAAACACTGGCCACGGGGAGAAGGAATGTATAATACACTATTTTTAAAATCCTTGATACTTTTCAATGATTTCTAATTTAACTACAACAAGAAATGACCACTTATAGAATTTGACCATTGTATTAACCCTATGAGGTAGACTAGACCTGTCTTACTATTGTTAATTGGTACTAATACCCTTTTTACAAACAGTATAACTGAGGCTTAGAGAGATTCACACCAAATCTACAGCTACACATGGATCAATTCCCTCTGAAAACTAGTTGAACAGCTCCTTCACATCAAAGGCTAAAAGGACCACATCAAGATGGGTAGTAGAAGTAGAAATGAGAGAACTGAGGCCTAGATAAACATGAGGAACTTTTCCAGTTCTATATTTCTATGACTAGATATCCTAATGCAGGGGTCCCCAACCCCCAGGCCATGGACTGGTACCGGTTTGTGGCCTGTTAGGAACCGGGCCGCACAGCAGGAGGTGAGCGGGGAGTGAGCAAAGCTTCATCTGTACCTGCAGCCGCTCCCCAGCGCCGGCATCACCGCCTCAGCTCCGAGCAAAGCTTCATCTGTATTTGCAGCCATTCCCCAGCACTAGCATCACTGCCTCAGTTCCACTTCATATCATCAGGCATTAGATTCTCATAAGAGCACCAGTTCCTGGTGCCAAAAAGGTTAGGGACTGCTATTCTACTGGACCAGATAGCAAAATGAGTGGTTTTAGCAGAATTCAATTAAAAATTGAGGTGCCTCTCATTGTCTTACAAGCTGTGAGTAAGTACCATAGAGTCTAGGTGCCCAAGTTCCTCTTCCTTCTTGGCAGCATTTATTCTCATGTGCTCAGGTATCTTATAGTCAGGGGCTGTCTTCAGGTTGAAGTCTCCCATATACATCTGAGCCTCTTTGATGGCTTGAACATCTTTGGGATCTTCATAGTCATCAGCAGGTTTACTCTTGTACCTATGAGAAAAATAGATAACCCAGCTCAAATATAACAATAAACTCTAATTTGTCTACTTTCCTATAGGTATGTAATCAAATGTAATTATGAAACAAAAGTGTAATTCTTAGTCTGTAACGTTACTTTTGTCTAGGTCCAAGCATTTTTTAAAGTTGACTATTTTTAAAGAATACCAAGAAAAATAATAAGTAAATAAATAAATACATTCACCAGACAGTACTGAAATAATCTGAATCATTCCTTGGCTTTGGTTCATTTCAAAGCAACTTACATTAACATTGTTATTTATTCCCACAATAGAAATTAAGCTTTGGGGATGGGGTGGGGGTTTTTATTCACTAGAAAGTTAATTCATTATTTATAGCATAAGTGTTTGTCACAAAATTTGTCATAACATTTCCCAAAGTATTATCTAATTAAAATGATAGCATGAACATATGTGTTTGCCTTTCCCTTTCTCCCCAAATTCCAGGGAAATGATAGTGTAGAGGTACTAAAGGTAATAAGTCATTAGAAAAGCTGAGAATGAAATAGAAAGCCATGAGTAAGTCAGTGATAGTGATACATTTCTAGAAAATAGAAGATAAAATTATATTAATGGATAAACCAAACCAGAGGAAACTGTAGCCCAGAATAATCCCAGGAGTAGTCTATAAAAAGATAAAGATGGTCTTCTTGGTAGAGTTCCTAGAAGGCTCCAAGCACAGAGCGGGGCAAGTATGGAACAGGGAATGGAATGCTAGACATTACTTGGCAAAATAAATTAAAAGGTTTAAAAGGAATGTCTGAACCAGTTGGGCTCTTCCAACTTTCCCATCTCCACACATAGAAAGTAGTAGCAAACTTTATACCTAGACTAAAACTGAAAAATTAATCTCTACAGAACTATCTTTACAGATACCGACCTATCAGCTTGGGAAGTACTAAGGCATCTGGGGTGTAGTCTGGCATCCCATTGTAGGGATCTTCATTGGGAGACCGAAATCTACCTAATTCTTTAAAGTGAACTCTGTCAATCAACATGAATATGTATACACATCTTGCAGTCAGCCCTTTAACAAAACAAACATATACAATAGCAGAGGAAATGCATGGTATCTAATGCATTAATCGACAATACTAAATTTGTAAAATGACACTAAAAGGAAGGATTAATATTTTTTAAAATAAAAGAAAAGAAAGAGAAAGAGAGAGAGCAAGAGCATATACTTCTGGCCATGTTAGAGAAAGAAGGCCCATAATTATCCTCATGCTGGAAGTAACTAGGAAACAACAAAAATATATGAAACAACTACGTTCAAATATTGATAGGCAGCATTCCAAGATCAGGAACAAGACAAGGATGCTCAATCTCCCCACTTCTATTTAACACAATGGAAGTCCTAGCCAGAACAGTTAGAAAAGAAAAAGAAATAAAAGACATCCATATTGGAAAAAAAGAAGTAAAACTTCATTATTTGCAGATGACATATTATATATAGAAAATCTTAAAGACTAATACACTGTTAGAATTAATAAACAAACTCAGTATAGTTGGATACAAAATCTATATATGAAAATCAGTTGTGTTCTTATAAATAATAACAAACTATCAGAAAGAGAAATTAAGAAAAATAATCCTATTTATAAATAAATCAAAAAGAATAAAATACCTAGGAATAAATTTAAGTTAAGGAAGTAAAAACCTCATGTACTAAAAACTTTTAAGACACTGAAATTGAAGACAAATTAATAAACAAACTCAGTATAGTTGGATACAAAATCTATATATGAAAATCAGTTGTGTTCTTATAAATAATAACAAACTATCAGAAAGAGAAATTAAGAAAAATAATCCTATTTATAATAAATCAAAAAGAATAAAATACCTAGGAATAAATTTAACTTAAGGAAGTAAAAACCCCATATACTAAAAACTTTTAAGACACTGAAATTGAAGACAAGAAAATTGAAGAAGACATAAATAAATGGAAAGATAGTCTGTGCTCAGGCACTGGAAGAATTAACAATGCTAAAATGTCCATACTACCCAAAGCCATTTACAGATAGAATGCAATCCCTCTCAAAATTCCCATGACATTTACCACAGAAATAGAAAAAACAATCCTAAAAATTGTGTGGAGCCAAAAAAGACCCTATATAGCCAAAGCAATCTTGATAAAGAAGAATAAAGCTAAAGGCATCATGCTTCCTGATTTCAAATTAATTACAAAGCTATAGTGATCAAAGCAGTATGATATTGGCATAAGAAGAAACACATAAAACACATCAGTGGAGCAGTCCAGAAATAAACCTACACATATATCGACAATTAATTTATATAAATCCAAAGATGTTATGAATACAAAATGTAAAAAAAACCAGTCTCTTCAATAAAAGGTGCACAAAAATCAACTCTAAATCAATTAAAGACTTGAGTGTAAAACCTGAAACCATAAAACTACTATAGAAAACACCCAAGGTAAGCTTCTTGACATTGGTCTTGGTGATGATTTTTTTGATTTGACACCAAAAGCATATGCAAGATAGGCAAAAATAAACAAGTGGGACTACATCAAACTAAAAAGCCTTCACACGAAAAGAATAAGCAAAATGAAAAAGTAACCTACTGAATGGCAGAAAATATTTTAAAAACATATATCTAATAAGGGGTTAATATCCAAAAGATATGAAAGTCATATAACTTAATAGCAAAAAAAAAAAAAAAACTGAATAAAAAAATGGACAGAGGAAGATCTTAATAGACATTTTTCCAATGAAGACATACAGATGGTCAACAGGTATATGAAAAGGAGCTCAACATCACTAATCATCTGAAAAATGCAAATTAAAACCACAATGAAATTTCACCTCACACCTGTTAGAATGGCTATTACCAAAAAGACAAGAGATAAATGTCAGCAAGGATGTGGGGAAAAGGGAACTCTTGTGCATTCTTGATGAAAATGTAAATTGGTGCAGCCGCTATGGAAAACAGTATGGTGGTTCCCCAAAAATTAAAAATAGAACTACCATATGGTCCAGCCACCTACTCCTGGGTATTTATCCCAAAAAAGTAAAAACACTAACTCAAAAAGATATATGCACCCCCATGTCCACTGTAGCATTATTTACAATACCCAAGATATGGAAACAACCTAAATGTCCATCACTGGATGAATGGATAAATAAGTGATACACACACACACACACACACACACACACACACACACACACACACCCCAAAATATTATTCAGAGATAAAAAGAATGTAATCTTGCCATTTGCAGCAACATGAATGGACCTTGAGCACAGTATACTAAGTGAAACAAGTCAGAGAAAGAAAGACAAATTCCATATGATTGCATTTACATGTGGACTATTAAGAAAAAAAGAAAAAGCTCATAGATACAAAGAACAGATTGTTGGTTGCCAGGGGTAGGGGGTGGAGGGTGGGTGAAATGGATAAAGGGCGTCAAAAGGTACAAACCAGTAATGTAAAAAGTAAGTCATGGGGCTGTAATGTATAGCATGATGACTGTAATAATGTTGTATTGCATATTCGTAAATTGCTAAGAGAATACATCTGAAAAGTTCTCATCACAAGAAAAAACTCTTATAACTATGGTGATGGACATTAACTAGACTTATCTTGGTTATCATTTACAATATATACAAATATCAAATCATTATATTGTACAACTTAAACTAATATAATGTTGTATGTCAATTATACCTCATACAGTTTTTAAAAAATGGGGAAAAAAATCAATGAAACTAAGAGCTGTTTTTTTTTTTTGAAAAGATAACCAAAATTGACAAAGCTTTAGCTAGACTCACCAAGAAAGAGAACTCAAATAAAATCAGAAATCCAAAAGGAGACATTATAACTGACCACAGAAATATAAAGGATATGAGACCACTATAAACAATTATACATCAACAAATTGGACAACCTAGTAGAAATGTATAAGTTCTTAGAAACATACAATCTACCAAGACTAAAACATGAAAAAATAGAAAATTTGAACAAACCAGTTACTCGTAAGGAGATTAAATCAGTAATCACAAGCCTTCCAACAAGCAAAAGTCCAGGACCAGATGGCTTCACTCATGAATTCTACAAAATCTTTAAAATATTAATAACATTTCCCTCTCTTCCAAAAAAAAAAAGAATGAAACATTTCCAAATTCATTTTATGAAACCAGTATTACCCAGATACGAAAACCAAACAAGAGCTCTACAAGAAAATTCCAGTAATATTTTTAAAAGGATAATACGCAATGATCAAAAGTGAAATTTATCCTAGGAATGATGATTTAACATTTGAAATCAATCACTGTGACCCGCAATACTAAAGAATAAAAATTTTAAATGATCACCTCAATATATATATAGAAATCATTTGATAAAATTCAGCACACAACCTTGATAAAAAATAAATTTAAAAATCTTTCAACAAACTAAGAATAAAAGGGAATTTCATCAACCTGATAAACTGCTTCTAAAGTCTGGTATCACGTTTGATAATAAAAGACTGAATGCTTTCTCCTTACTTGGGAATAAGACAAGGATATTCACTCTCACCATTTTTATTTGACATTGTAGTGCATATCTGAGACAGTACAATAAATCAAGAAAAAGAAAAGACAAAGAGATTGGAAAGGAAGAACTTATCTTTATTCACATACAACATGATCATATTCAGTAAACACTATAAAGAATCTGAAAAAAAAAACTACTAGACTTAATAAGTGGGCTTAACAAAATCAAATTTAAAAATCAATTGAGAGAACTTCCACTTCCAGGATGATGGAGTAAACTGACGTTTTCCTATTTGGTAAGTACAAATACAAATCCTAGACATTATATATAAAACAATCATAAGATTCTGAAATGTGGAAAAGAGGAGGGAAACCACAGAAAACCTGGGGACTCAAAGAAAGATATGATGGTAAGCAGTCTGGGTTTTCTTTTAGCCTCATATATCCAGACCTGAAGCTAAAGAAAACAGCAACTAAAGAAGGGGTCATGGGAGGGGTTGGGCAAGAAAAAAAGAAGTGAAGAGAATTAAGAGGTACAAATATCCAGTTATAAAATAAATAAGTTACAGAGATGTAATGTACAGCATTGGCAATATAGTCAATAATACTGTAATAACTGTACAAAGATGGATGGTTACTAAATTTGTCATGGTAATCACTTTGTAAAGTATACAGATGTTGAATCACTATGCTGTACGGTTAAGACTAATATAATACTGTATCTCAACTACAGTTAAGGAATAAAACAGCAACTCAGAAACACTAATAGGTTTAGACAACAAAAGCCCAACAAAATCCTGGGTGAGGCAAAAGGGCATAAAAGCGGGTAAAGTTTCCACACATTATTTAAGCTGATAAAATATTAACACCAGTATACTGTGATAAGTTGTATATACATAATGTAATACCTAAGAGCAAACACTAAAAAGCTATACAAAGTGATACATTCAAAAACACTATAGATTAATTATATTGAACTTTAAAATATGCAAGCAAACCATAGGCAGCCGTAAAAAAAAAAAAAAAAAAAAAAAAAAAGGATAAAAAAAAATATAAAAAACAAGATATAAAATAGCAGATATAAGCCTTAAATATCAATAATTACATTAAGCGTAAATGGCCTAAACATACCAATCAAAGAACTACGATTGACAGAGTAGATTAAAAAACAACCCAACTACATGCTGTCAATAAGACATTAACTTCAAATATAGCAATATAAGTAGGTTGAAGTAAATGGATGAAAAGTTATACTCTTCAAATACTGAGTGCTTTCCCCCTAAGATTAGGAACAAGGTGTGGATGCCAGCTCTCTTTATTCTATTTCAATGTAGCATTGGAAATCTTAGCCAATGCAATAGGAAAAGAAAAGGAAATAACAGGCAAACAGATCAAATAAGAAGAAATAAAACCGTCCCTATTTACAGATGACATGACTGTCTACACAAAAAAAATCCCAAGGAACCTACAAAAAAAAAAAACTCTCAGAACTAATATGACAATTCAGCAAGGTCACAGTATACCATATAAGTACAAAAATCGGTTGTATTTCCATACTAGCAATGAACACAAACACATAGACACCAAAATTAAAAACATGATACCATTTACAACTGAGAAAAAAGTGAAATATTTATGTGAAAATTTAACAAAATATGTATAGTACTTATACTCTGAAAACAACAAAACAGATGAAATAAACAAAGATCTAAGTAAGTGAAGTAATTCATGCCCCATGGATTGGAAGACTCAACATAATAAATATGTCAGTTCTCCCCAAACTGATACACTGGTTTAACATAATTCCTATAATAGGTTCAGCAAATTTTTTTGGAAATATAAACAAGATTATTCTGAAATTTATACGGAAAAACAAAGTAACTAGAATAGAAAAACAATTTTGAAAAAGAATAAAATGAGAGAAATAAATCTACCCAATTTCAAGACCTACTACATAGCTAAAGTAATCCAGACAGTGTATAATGACAAAGGCACAGACACATAAACCATTGGTTCAGAAAATAAAACTGGAAATACCCACACAAATATACCCAGATCATTATTGACAAAAGTGCAGAAGCAATTCAATGCAGGAAATAGGGACTTTTCAACAAATGGCGATTAGAGCAATTGGACATCTATAAGCAAAATAATAAACATAAATCTCACATCTTATTGTAAAATGAACATCAAAGAATTGCAGATTTAAATTTAAAGTGTAAAACTATAAGACTTTAGGAAAAAAAATAGAAGAAAATGTTTGAGACCTAGGGCTAAGCATAGGTCTTAGACTTGACACCAAAATTCAGATTTATATAAGGACAAATTGATAAATTGACTTCAACAAAATTAAAATCTTTTTAAGGGAATAAAAAGACAAGCTACAGACTGGGAGAAAATATTTAAAAACAATATTTCTGACACGTAGCTGGTATGTAGAATATATTTTAAAAACTCTCGAAACTCTCAAAACTCAATAGCAATCTTATTTGAACATAGACAAAAGACATGAAGAGACATTTCACCAAAGATATATATGTGGCAAAAAAAAAAAAAAAGAGAGAGAGAGAGAGAGATGTGTTTGTTAAATAAAAATAATAATTCATATTAGGTTTTTTTGTCAACTTCATATGGTTAGAGACCTACAGGTGAAAGCTCAAACTATAAGATGTTAGAAGAACAAACAGGAGAATAATTTCTTGATGTTGGGATAAAAAAAAAAATTGTCTTAATCCTCAAAAATCACTCTGAGTATATTAGTAAATTGAAATTTCTGGACCTGAAAATCTGAGGATCATAGAAGTTACACCAATGTATCATCACTCTGAAAGATCCAGTTGACCAGACTTCAATATTTCCATCTCTATTTCTATTTCTTTCGTTTCTTTATTTAAATAAAAAATTTTATATTTATTAACATTGTTGAAGATTTTTTTAGATTCATATTAAAATGAAAGAGTTTAAGTAAAAAATACTTACAGTTCCTCCCATTCTTTTTTTCGCTGCTGAATCTTAAATTGGGCCCTTTCAGCTTTTAATATAAGTTTCCTCGTTTTCTCAATTTGATTTTCCACCATAATCTGACTTAGGGTTTTAGGCCGAAATTCCTTCCCTTTTTCTATAATTTCTTCTGGCATACCAACAGTCCCACCTGTGCAGAGAGTCAACATTTTTTTCAGTCTTTTTGAAACATCAAAATGAAATTCTCAAATATTGTTTTTAACCTTTCAAATTTTTAATTTTTTAATCTTTCAATTACAGTTGACATTCAATATTATTTTACATTAATTTCAGATGTACAGCAGTGGTTAGGCATTTATATAATTACAAAGTGATTCCCCTGATTAGCCTAGTAACTACCTGGCACTATACATAGTTATTACAATGTTATTGACTGCATTCCCTATGCTATACTTTGCATACCTGTGACTGTTTTGTAACTACCAATTTGTACTTCTTAATCCTTTCATCTTTTTCACCCAGCCCCCAGCCCCTCTCCCATCTGCAATCATCATTTTATTCTCTGTATCTATGAGTCTGCTTCTGTTATTTTGCTTGTTTATTTTGTTCTTTCAATTCCACTATAAGAGACATATATGGTATTTGTCTGACTTATTTTACTTAGCATAATACCCTCTAGGTCCATCCATATTGTTGCAAATACTAAGATTTCATTTTTTATGGCTGAGTAATATTCCATTATATATATGTACCACTTCTTTATCTAATTATCTATTGATGGGCACTTAGGTTGCTTCCATATCTTGGCTATTGTAAATAATACTGCAGTGAACAGAGGGGTGCATATATCTTTTTGAATTAGTGTTTTGAATTTCTTTGGATAAGTACCTAGAGGTGGAATCGCTGGGTCATAATGAAGCTCTAGTTTTAATTTTTTGAGGAACCTCCATACTCTTTTCCATAGTGGCTGCACCAATTTGCAATCTCATCATCAGGGCATGAGAGTTCCCTTTTCTCCACATCATCAACACTTCTGTTTGTTCATTTATTGATGATAGCCATTCTGACAGGTGTGAGGTGATATCTCATTGTGGTTTTAATTTGTGTTTCTCTGATGATTAGTGATGAACGTCTTTTCATATGTCTATTGGCTATCTGTATGTCTTCTTTGGAGAAAAGTCTATTCAAGTCCATGGCCCATTTAATTAGATTGTTTGTTTTTTGGTCTTGAGTCGTATGAGTTCTTCATAAATTTTGGATATTAACCCCTTATTGGATGTATCATTGGCAAATATCTTCTCTCATTTTGTCTTTTTGTTTTGTTGGTTTAGTTTATTTTTTTATTTTGTTTCCCTTGCCCAAGGAGATACATCAGAAAAAAATATGTTACTAAGAGCAATGCCAGAGAATTTACTGCTATGTTTTCTTCTATAAGTTTTATGAGATTGAGTGTTTAAGTCTTTCATTCATTTTGTATTTATTTTCATACAAGGTGTAAGAAGGTGGTCTAGTTTCATTTTTCTGCATGTATCAGTCCAGTTTTCCCAACACCATTTTTTGAAGAGACTGTCTTTACTCCATTGTATGTTCTTGCCTCCTTTGTCATAGATTAATTGACCAAATAGATGTGGGTTTATTTCTGGGCTCTGTGTTCTATTCTGTTGACCTATGTGTCTGTTTTTATGCCTGTACCATGATGTTTTGATTATTAAAGACTTGTAGTATAGTTTGATATCAGGTACTGTGAAAACTCCAACTTTGTTCCTTTTTCTCATGACTGATATGGCTATTAGAAATTTTTTGTGGTTTCATATATTTTTTGGAATTATTTGTTCTAGTTCTTTGAAAAATACCATTGGTATTTTGATAGGGATTGCACTGATTTTATAGATTATTTTGCATAGTATGGACATTTTAACTATGTTAATTCTTCTTATCCATGAGCTCAGTATATGCTTCCATTTATTTGTATCTTTTTCGATTTCTTTATTCAGTATCATAATTTGCCAAGTACAAGTCTTTTAACTCCTTGGTTAATATTATCCCTAAGTATTTTATTTTTTAATGCAATTGTAAATGGGATTGTTTTCTTAATTTCTCTTTCTGATAGTTCATTATCGGTGTATAAAAATGCAACTGATTTCTGAATATTAATTTTGTATCCTGCTACTTTATTGAATTCATTTATCAGTTCTAATAGTTTTTTGGTAGAATCTTTAGGGTTCTCTATACATAGCATCATGTCATCTGCAAATGACAGTTTCACTTCTTATTTTCCAATTTAGATGACTTTTATTTCTCCTTATTTTCTGATTGATGTGGGTAGGACTTCCAACACTATGTTGAATAAAAGTGGTAAAAGTGGACATCCTTATCTTGTTTCTGATCTTAAAGAAAACATTTTTAGCTTTTCCTCATTGAATATGATGTCAGTTGTGGCTTTTACTATGTTAAGGTATGTTCTCTCTATTCCCACATAGGAAAGTGTCTGAGTGTTTTTATTATAAATGGATACTGGATTTTGTCAAATGTTTTTTCTGCATCTATTGATATGATCACATGATTTTTACCCTTCATTTTGTTTATGTGGTATATCACACTCTTTTGCAGATATCGAGCCAACATTGCATGCTGGGACTAAACCTCTCTTGATCATAATGGATGATCTTTTACTATATTGTTAAATTCAATTTGCTAATGTTTGTAGAGGATTTTTGCATCTATGTTCATCAGAAATACTGGCCTATAATTTTCTTTTTTTGCAATATTTTTGCCTGATTTTGAAATCAGGGTAATGGTGACCTTGTAAAATGAGCTTGGGAGCCTTCCCTCCTCTTGAATTTTTTTTAAAAAGTTTGAGAATAGGTGTTGATTCTTCTTTGAATGTTTGGTAAAATTCATCCATGAAGTCCTCCAGTATAGGGCTTTCATTTGTGGGAAATTTTTTGATTACTGATTTTATTTCACTAGTAGTAACTGGTCTGTTCAGATTTTCTGTTTCTTCTTGATTTAGTCTTGGCAGTTTGTGTGGTTCTAGAAATTTATCCATTTCTTCCAGGCTGTTCAATTCATTTGCATGTAATTATTCATAGTATTTACTTATAATCCTTTGTGTTTCTGTGGTGTCAGTTAACACTTCTTCATTTCTGATTTGGGTCCTCTCTTTTGTTCTTGAGGAGTCTGGTTAAAGGTTTTTCAACTTTCTCTTTTCAAAGAACCATTGATCTCTTTTATTACTTTTTATTTGTTTGTTTTGTTTTTTTAGACTCTACTTCTGCTGTGATCTTTATTATTACCTTCCTTCTACTCACTTTGGGCTTTCCTTTTCTTTTTCTAGTTCCTTTAGATATAAGGTTAGATTGTTTGAGATATTTCTTGTTTCTTGAGGTAGGCTTGTATTGCTATGAATTTCCCTTTTACAACTGCTTTGGCTGTGTCTCATAGATTTTGGAGGTTCTTATGTTTACATTTTCATTTGCCTCAAGGTATTTTTGATTTCTTCCTTGACCTCATTGTTAACCCATTTATTGCTTGGTAGCATGTTATTTAGTCTCCATTTATTTGTATTTTTGTTTTTTCTTGTAAATGATTTCTAGTTTCATACCACTGTGGTTATAGAGGTTGCTTCATATGATTTCAATCTTCTTAACTTTATTGAGTCTTGTTTTGTGGCCTAACATGTGGTCTACCTTGGAAAGTGTTCCATATGCACTTGAAAACAATGTATATTCTGCTGCTTTGGGGTGAAATACTCTAAAATTATCAATTAAATCCATTTTGTCTAATAGGTCATTTAAGGCTGTTTCCTTATTGATATTGTCTGAAAGATCTATCCATTGATGTCAATGGGGTGTTAAAGTCCCCTTCTGTGACTATATTACTTTTGTTCTCTCCCTTTATGTTTGTCAATGTTTGTTTTATATATTTTGGTGCTCCTATGTTGGGTGCATAAATGTTTACTAGGGTTATAGCCTCTTATTGGCTCGATCCCTTTATTGTTATAAAATATCCTTGTCTGTTTTGTCTGATATAAGTATTGCTAGCCCAGCTTTTTTAAATTTCCATTTGTATGAAATATCTTTTTTGGTCCCTTTATTCTCAGTCTACGTGTGTCTTTCAATCAGAAGTGGGTCTCTTGCAGATAGCATATGTATGGGTCTCGTTTTCTTCTCCATTTAGCTACCCTATGCCTTTTGATTGTAGCATTTCATACATTTTCATTTAAAGTGGTTACTGATAGGTTACATAGTTATTGCCATTTTATTATTCATATTTATGGGTTTTCCCCCTTCTTTCTCTTAAAGAAGTCCCTTTAACATATCTTGTGATACTGGTTTGTTGGTGATAAACTCCTTTTTGTTTGTTTGTTTGTTTGTTTTGTTTTCTTGGAAGCTCTTTATCTCTCCTTCAATTTTAAATGATACCTTTGCTGGGCCAAGTAATCTTGGTTGTAGCTCCTTGCTTTTTATCACTTTAAATATTTCATGCCAATCCCTTCTGGCCTGCAAAGTTTCTGCTTTGAAATTAGCTGATAGTCTTATGGTAATTCTTTTGTAAGTATTTTAATATTGTCTTTAATCTTTGCCATTTTAATTAGGACATCTGGGAGTGGGCCTCTTTGGGTTTATCTCCTTTGGGACTCTTTATGCTTCCTGAATTTGTATGTCTATTTTCTTTGCTAGTTTAGGAAAGTTTTCAGTCATTATTTCTTCAAATAGGTTCTCAGTCCCTTGCTCTTTCTCTTCTCCTTCTGGTACCCCTACAATGCAAATGTTGATATGCTTGATGTTGTCCTAGAGGTCTCTTAACCCAGAGATCCCCAACCTTTTTTGGCACCAGGGACAGGTGTTCCTACGAGAATCTAATGCCTGATGATCTGAGGTGGAGCTGAGGTGGCGAGGCTAGCGCTAGGGAGCAGCTGCAAATACAGCCTGCCACTCACCTTCTGCTGTGTGGCCCACTTCCTAACAGGTCACAGACTAGTACCAGTCTGCAGCCCAGGGATTGGGGACCTCTGCCTTAATCTATTCTCCTTTTTTTTCTGATTGGTTGTTTCCTGCTACCTCGTCTTCTAAATCACTTATTTGAGCCTCTGCTACATCTAATATGTTGTTGATTCCTCCTAGTGTATTCTTCATTTCAGTTATTATAGTCTTCACTTCTGACTGGTTCTTTTTATGATTTCTATGTGTTTTTGTGCCTGCTATCTCTTTGTTGAAATTCTCACTAAGTTCCTTAAGCATCTTTAAAACCAGTGTTTTGAACTCTGTATCTGGTAGAACTCTGCTTGCCTTCATTTCACTTAGTTCTTTTTCTGGAGTTTTCTCTCATCCTTTCATTTGGGACATGTTTCTTCATCTCTTCATTCTGGCTGCCTCTCTTTGTTTGTTTCTATATATTAGGTAGATCTGCTACATCTCCCAGTCTTGGCAGGGCGGCCTTATGAAGTAGGTGCCCTATGGGACTCAGCAGCACAGTCTTCATTCTCTCTGATCACCTGAAGTGGGTGCTCCAGGAGTATCCCTTATGTGAGGTGTGTGTGCCTTTCTGTTGTAGCTGAGCATTGATTACTGTTGGCATGTCAGTAGGTGGGATTGACCCCAGGCTGACTGACTGTGAGGACTGGCAATGTCCATAGTGTACAAGCTGCTGCTGGGGGACTGACCCACAGAACTAGATTTGTCCCAGCAGGCTCTGGTGCCTGCCAAGACCACCCTTTGGGTATACTGCTTATGGGGCTAATCGGGTGGTGTTCTGTTGTGATCTGAAGCTGGCTGGGTGTGTAGGTTCTGGGGCCTCTTGGGAAGGGTTCTAGTGCAGGCCAAGGCTGCCTGTGACTGGCCCAAGGCTACTTGGTAGGAGCTACAAAGTGATCCACAGTTGTTAGCTGCCTGTGCTGGACATGGAGGCATGTGGGAGAAGCCACACTGTGAACTGATGCTGGCCACCACTAATATCATGCCTGGGGCAGCTGAGCAAAAGGCCCAAGGCAACTTGAGGCCTGCCACCACTTGCCAGCTCAGCCACTGAAAGAGACTCAGGCAGTATGTGAGTTGAGCAAGACAGGGTCTCAGGGAGTCACCAGGACAGGGCAAGTGGTGTCTACCAGGTTAATGCAGATTCGGATTTGATGCCAGGGCTGAGGCTGGGGCCACTCAGCAAAAGGCACAGAGCACATACAGGCTAGCTGCTGCCTTCCTGAGGCCCTTGTTCCCCCAAGAGCTGACCACAAAAGACTGCAGCATAGCCCAAGGCTGGCTGCCTGCCACCGAAAGAGCCTCTGGCAGTGCATAAGTTTGGTGGGGCAGGGTCCTGGGAATCACCAGGGTAGAAAAAGTGATATTCATCAGGCCAATACAGACTTAGCCATATGAGGGGAGGGCTCAACACAGGAAAGATGGCACCCACCCACATGGAGGTAGGGCTTAACACAGGGAAAATGGTGGCTGTCCCTCCAGCCCTCTCCTTGAAGCCACATAACTCAGTCACTCTCTGTATGTCTCTGGCATCCCCCAATCTGTTATCCCTCTGCTGGATAATGAGTGCCTGCAAAGGAATATGTCTGTGTGCTGGCCCTTTAAGAGGATGCCTGGGTTTTCAGCAGCCTTCCATCTCATCTGGAAGATGGAAGGAATCTCCTCTGATTTTCACAGCCAGATGTTGTAGGGGCTCCTCTTCCCAGCACCAGTGCTCTGAGGTGGGGAGTCAGTTACTCTTATCCTCTCAGTCACATGACTAAGGTGAGTTTTCTTTAGCAGCCTGCATCAAATAGGAAAGCTGATCTAGAGCATTTGCTAGAGAAACTTGGCCTCTCATTCTCAGCCATACCAGACATTACTATCTCTCTTGATTATTTACTCTAAAGAAATAAAGCATGGGAGACAAGAAATTGAACTTAAGCCACCAAAAAAGTTTCAAATATTCTGCCCACAAAAAGACAATTCAGCTTTAAAATCTTAATAAATGAGAATATAAAAGACTTCTTGTCATTTAGGTTACCTTTATCTTTCTGGCTCTCCTGTTTTCCCACTCCCTCTTTATCAAACCTCTCCATTTTGCTTGGTCTTCTCTCTGACTGACTTGCCTGTTTGGCTCTGAAGTACTTAGAGGGCTTCATAAGCCTGTAGGAGGCTATCTTGTGATCACTTTGTATGGCATGAACAACAATAGCATCACTTTGCAATGAATCGCGAAATCTGGGGGAAAAAAAAAGGCAAATATTTGCAATAGTCACCATTTTAATCATTTAATTACACCATTTTAATCATTTTACATGATTATTAAGTAATAAATAAGATCATAATATATTACACTTATAAATAATATCATTATGTCACACTGGATTCAAAATTTAACCATACATATACCAACAAGAATGTGATGGAATTGGATAGGACTTGGTTAAAGAGTAAATAAAATTTTCTTTCTAATAAAAATACTAAACAACTCATTAATTAACATAATACCACTGCTTTGCTAATATGTAGGAAAATGAAAATATTTTAGGCATACTGCAGTTTAACAGCAAATGAATCATATCAAACTCCCAGAAAATGTAATCTACCTCTCTATCTATTATCTCATATATTATACATACATATCTCGTATTCCATATACATTATATAGATAATAGGGAGGTAGATATCTATCATATATCTCATATATCTCCGATATTTCATATAACCCTATTTGCCTCTATAAAAAACATTAAGCTCAGGAATTCATGCTATGCTCTAGTTCACCTTTCTCATACAGCCCACAGAAATTTATCTTTTAGAAGTCTTTCACCAATTAAATTGCTGCTATTTTTGACAGTGGTTCATAATTATTCCATCTTTAATTTTAGAATTTAACTCATGTATATATATAGCAATTATTCCTAGCTTGTTTGTCTTTCTTTCTATTTATCTAACTCAAGTCTTTTAACTCATTTCTCCTTTTAAAATGGCTTGCCATTTATTTTTAAATTTCCCTTTTCTCTCATAGCATAGCAACTTTCTCATCTCTATAAGACTTATTCCCTCTATCTTCTTGTTCATGGAAGTTTTTTTAACTCTTTAAATTTATGCCTTTCCATGAGACCCAGATAACATGAGGGAAAATTTGGGTGGTTTTGATCACATCAAAATTTAAAACTTCTGCATGGTTAGAAAAATATTAACAAAGTTTAAGGCAAATGGCAGAGTAGGAGAAAGCATTTACTGTATATAACAAAAGGCAAATACTTATAGAAATAGAGACTAAAACTAAAAATAAGGGGGAAAATAAACAAGACTCAAAGAAAAATGAACAAAGAATCTAAACAGGCAATTCTAAGAATAAAGAAAAATGAACTATAAACATATGAAAAGAAATGCTGAACCTCACCAATAATCAAAAGAATGCAAATTATTCAACCAAGATTTACCATATTTGGCCTATTAGACTGGTGAAGATTAAAACACTGGTAATATTCAGTGTTATTCAGGGGTACTTTATCCTCTCCCCCATTTCAGTCAGATAGCTAGCTACTTATTATTTCCTTTCTTATTTTTTTGAAGACATGAAGCTACAGAGTGAGCAGGGGCCTGGACTAAAGTGGGAAAGCAGAGAGTTAAGGAAATAAGTATTTGAGGGCAAGGAGAATGGAAAGGAAGAAATTATACCTAAAGAAGAGGATGATTGGCAAATTGGGTCCTACAGCTTGGGCACTTGTTCCCTGCTCTAGCACGTGGAGAGACACAAGGTGATGGTTGCAAGTGTGTCGGATCCTGAGAACTGGAGATTTTAGCCTCACAAAAGACTGCCTGCTCCAGCAGAGCACAGAAACCACAGAATAAAGCTGAAAGAAGCAGGCAGCCTGCGACAATGAGCCTCAGTGGGACTAAGACTGACTTTCCTGTCTGCCTACTAGAATAGAAGCTCAGAGTCAAATTTAATTAATTTAAATAAAATAATAGCCATATTGCTCATATTCCTGCATTTGTGAGTTAAGATTTATACTTGCCATATATACATTTACAAGTATTTCATGAATATTTATTAAAGCCAAACATAAGATACTATGTTGAGGGTTCCTCCCAAGAGAATCTTCTTACCCAGTTTCATCTCTTGGTGGGTAGCAATCTAGATATAATTTGGGATTTAAATGTTCAAATATTATCCAAGAATTCAAGTATTCAGGGATTCAATGCCAGGTAAAGAGTACCATAATTCACAAGGCAAGAGAACCAAAGTGGAGACTGGTGCACATAGACAGCACTCTGGAGAGCTGAAGAGGGCTTCCTTCCAGCCTTCAGGTGAATCCTGATTAGCACATACATGTGAGGAGTCTATCTGAGGCTAACATCAGAAGGAAGCAGGTAGAATCATCCCCAGACCTGCCCCCTATACACACATGTTGGAATTGCTTGCATTCCCACAAGACTCATAAGATATGAGACATAGGGTAGAGTACTTAGAAGAATTTTATTTTAGTAGTGAGAAGAAATTAGCTCTAGACTAATGGCTGCCTCATTCCATCTAACAAATAGTAAAAGGAAGCCTCAAAAAATCAAACTATCTTCAAGTAACTTAACTAAATCCCAGAATAAAGATGAAGAATTTTTTTTTTGCATTTTTTAAAATAAATTTATTTATTTAAATTAGTTTCAAGTATACAGTACATTAGTTAGACATCTATAATTTCATAAAACGATCCCCCCAATTGCTCCCTCCCTCCTCTGGCCCTCCACTTAGCCATCATATTAATGCTAACTACATTCCCTATTCCATGCTCCCCGTGCCCAACTACCAACTACTAATTTGTACTTCTTTAACCCTTCACCCCATTCTCCCAGCCTCCCAACCTCCCTCCCCTCTGTCCATCACCAAATTGTCCACTATATTTGTAAGTCTGTTTTTGATTAGTTTGAAGATGAAGACTATTTTAAAATATGTAAAAAAAAAAAAAACAAAACAAACAAAAAAAAAAACATATTTTAAAATATGTAAAAACAAAACAAAACAAAACAAAACAAAACACACCCAGCACCCACAATGTAAAATTCACAATGTCTGGCATCCAATCAAAATTTTTAAGACAGTCAAGATACCAGAAAAACATGACCCCAAGAGAAAAATATCAATAGAAACGAACCCAGAAATGATACGAATCATTTAACTAGCAAAGAAGAACATTAAAGCAGTTATTATAATATATTTTATATGTTCAAGAAGGTAGAGAAAAGCATGAGCATATTAAGGTAAGTAAAATCCGTACTTATATTAGGAAGTCAATAAATAATGATTAATAATAAATTCTTAGAGATATGTTATTTAGATGTATGGTCATAACCACTAGAAGAAATATAAAAGTTAATTCTTTTCAAGATATATCATGTTTATGGATTGAAAACCTCAGTATTTTTTAAATACCTGTTATGTCTAAGTTGATCTATACATTCAATGTAATTCCAATCAAAATCTTAGCGTTTTTTGTCAAAATTGACAAGTTTATTCTATGCAAAGGACCTAAACAATATTGAGGATGAAGAATAGAGCCAGAGGACTTATAATATCAGATGTCAAGATAATTAAGATAATGTGATACTAGCACAAAGAGAGGCCAATGGACTAGCATGAAGATTTCAGAAACAGACCACATGTATATGGTTATCTGATATATGACAAAAACATCACTATAATCTAGTGAGGAAAGGTTAGTCTTTTCAGCAAACGATACTAGGTAAATTAGATATCCAAACAGGAACAAATGACACTTGACCTCTATCTTATATCACACACAAAAATTATTCGAGATAGGTAACAACAGAGCTTCTAGAAAAAAACAGAACTATTTCATGAATTGGAAATAGACAAAGATTCCTTACATACAACATAAAAGCACTAACTATAAGAGTTAGTGAAAATACTGATACATTGAAAAAATTGATAAATTTAATTTCATTGAAATTTTAAAATCCTGTTCAAAAAGACACCATGAGAATGAAAAGATAAGCCACAGACTAGAGAAAGATATTTTATATGCATACACACATATCTGTTTCATATATATATACATATATATACACACATGAGACATGTATATGTGTCATATATATGACAAAGGACTCATATCCAGACTATATAAATAATTCCTACAACCCAATTTTTAAAATGAACAAAAGACTTGAACGAACACCTAACAAAAGACTATACAAATAATCAATAAGTACAGGAAAATGGGATAAAAGTCATCGCTCATCAAGAAAATGCCAATTTAAACCACCCTGAGATACACTTACAGATGGCTGAAATTTAAAGAACTGATAATACCACGTGATGAAAAGTATGAATGTAATGTGTTTAATTGTGTCCCCAAAAACGATGTTGAAGTCCTAAACACCAGTACCTCAGAATATAACCATATTTCAAAACAGGGTCTTGACAGAGGTTATCAAATTGAAATAAGATCATTAGAGTAGGTCCTAACATGGCTGGTGTACTTATAAAAAGAGGAAATTTGGACACACACAAAGGGATGATTATATGGAGGGACACAGAGAGTACACCATGTGAAGGCAGACAATTTGCAATGATGCATCTACAAGCTATGAAACACCACAGATTGCTGGAAAACCACCAGAATCTCAGAAAGAGGCATAAGACAGAGTCAGAAAAAATAAACTTAGCCAACAGTTTGATTCTGAACTTCCAGATCTGTCTGAGGTACTTTGTTATGGAAGCCCTAGGAAACTAATTTAATGGGGCTCAATTCAATTTCTCATGTAGTGATTGTCAGAGTATAAAATGGTTGAACCATTTTGGAAAACTGTTACTTATGACCCAGCAGCAGTTCCACTCCTGGTTACACAGGAAACAAAAATAAGTGCTTATGTCCACCAAAAAATATGCACAAGAATGTTCATAGCCCCATTATTCATAGTAGCCAAAAGAATATAACAAACAACTATTTATCAACAATTAAATGATTAAATTGTAGTATAACCATTTAATAGAATATTACAAGTCAGTGAAAAAGAATGAACTACTTATATCTACAACAACACAGATAACCTTAGGTATGATACTAAGGAGTCAGATACCAAAGAGTTCATACTGCAACATTTAATTTATAGGAAGTTCACAGACAAAACTAATCTATGGTGATAAACATTAATCTTTGGAGAGTAAATTTTTACTGGGAGGGCTCATGAGGGAACTTTCTGGAGTACTGTAAGTGTTCTTAATTTGGGTAGCAGATACATGTGTTTATTTATCTGTAGAAATTTATCAAGCTGTTAAATTAAGATTTATGCATTTTACTGTGTATAAATTACATCTCAAAAAGGCAAAGAAAAGAAATTTCCCCTGAGAAGTCAAATTGGTACATGAGAGGGATTAGACAGTTGACAGTCGTCTTTTATTATAAGTCCTTTGGTAACATTTTATTTTTGATTTTTTTAAATATGGGCATGCTGTAGAATTAATTAGATAAAAAATAATTTGTCAAAAATGAAAAGTAAATATGTATCACATAATTTGGTTTGTAAAAAATCTGTTAAACAAATTTCTCAGATTTAAACTAGGAAGGAATGAGTAGAAAGCTCAGGAAAATATCAGTAGGAGTGACAAGAGGATTCCTTGAGATCTCAGGTGTTAGTGCATATTTCAAGAAACCTTTAATTTGACCACTTTGATTAAGCCACTATAAACTACTTTATTCAAATATGCTCTCAAACATCTTAACTTGCAAGAAATATGGATCTTACCTATTCTGTAGCTTCATTAGGCCAAGTTGATGTTTCTCTTTTTCCCAAGCTAATTCCTTTTCCACTTGTTGAATTTTATGAACTGTTTTTCTGTTAATCTCAGCACGAATTTTGGAATCTAGATCAAAATCCTGCAGATAAGTGGATTTGTTCATCAAAATGGGTACTTTTATCAATGTAATTCATCGATCTTATTTTACACATACATATTTTTTAAGTTCTATGACCTTATTTTACACATACATATTTTTTAAGTTCTATATTCAAAATTTTATGCAGCATAACTCTCTCCCAAATATTTTAAACTCTCTCCATTCTAGAAAGGAATAACATACTTTTAATCTTCCACAAAACATGAAAACGTGTTCTCAGAAATGAACAGTGCAAATAAAGATACATATTAAAAGATTTTCTTCACAGTAAAAATAATGAATGCTAGAATATTTAAAGAACGTACAAAGTTAAAAAAAAAATGCTTCCCTTACAAAGTTTAAAATATATATTCCCTTTACTCCAAAGCAACTAACTACTACAAAACCATGGGGGCACAGGACAGAAGTTCATGACAGTTGATCATTAGCTGAACATCTCCCATATGACTCTACTCAGGAAAGAAAGCAAAGTCTTTGTCATCTTCTTAACATCACCAAGTTCCAGATCAATATCCTTCACCAAGGGGGCTTATTTCCCATAAGGATACTTAGCAGCCTCATGTTTCTTACCTTCACCCCTGTAAAAATGCCAGGGCCTTCCTTCACATCAAATTGGAAGTAGTAATTATTCTTTCCAGAGGTGCTTGTGTTTTAAGTAATGATGTGCATAAAGTGCTTAGCCACAGAACTTGCCTCAGTTATTCTTTATTTTTAATTATGTCACCCGAATTCTGCAAATGTCAACTTTTTTCTTGGTAAAATAGCATAAACATCTTTTAACCAATATGAGTTAACCATTATGATTTCACCAAAGCATTTTTTATTTGAAATTGGTTAAATGCCTCTAGAATTATAGGACTAGGCAAACCACAGATTTAGTAAGGTAGCTAAATCCAGAAATAAAGAGGTTTATCTGTATCCCAACCAAGTTGTATGACAAGTTCTACAGTAGTTTAGCTGCTGCCAACATATTGACTGGCCAGATTAAAAAGTGAAGCTTAAAGATGATTTTAAGAATTCATACCTATCGGCCAAATAGTACTTGGTTTTGAACTAGAAATAGCATATGTTAAAATTAAAATCAAATTTATTTTAGACTTACTGTTCGTTTAAACTGCATATGCTCGGGTAATTCTTCATTCATTTGTAGTAGTTTCTGAAACTCATTCCTCAAAGCTCTGAGCTGTTCTCTCTTCCCCGCCTTTATTTCTTCCACCTCTTTCATTAATTTGTCATGTTCTCTTTTTTTTCTGGCATCCTCAATACTGAAAACAGAAATTTAAAAGGATAAACTACAGATATAGCAAAGAGAAAATTAGTATTCAAATATTTGGAAATTCATTTTGCTTTGTCAGTTTCCATAAAATGTTGGTTTGTTTTGCAAAAAGTTCAGACTTCATAGGTATTTATTGAAAATTTCCATACCTGTAGGCTTTGGGATCTTCAATATCTTCTGGAATTGGCTCTGTTTCAATTCCAAACTGTAAGAAGGGGAGTAAAAAATTAGTCCTTTAAAACTAATTTCCTTTAAAACACCTAATTAAAAGTAAATTGAGGGGTTTTTTTTTCCCCTGCCAATTTTTAGCAATTATATGCTTGAAAAGTATTTTCACAAAAAATAAACTAAGGACAATATTGCAGTTAACTAAACTTATTTGTTTCTGCTTCATTCAAAGGGGTGGAGAAAGTCTTGAAACTTAATCATATGTATGCAAAATGTTAATATCCCCATATTGCCCTTCAAAATGCAAATTATTAATATTCATGTGTTATTATCAAAGAATACACACAAAAATTTTCTGCACCACTTATTTTAAAATGCTGGGTATTTTTTTTTTTAGCATATCCTTTTTATATATGCATAATTCCCCAAAACTACTCCATGTGTGTGCTAGGAAGGTTTTTAAAGATATATATTCTTAAATTTTTTAGTAAGCATTTCACTTGACCTTACCAAATGAAGACATACAGTGGGAAATGCACAGAATAAGATAATCCCCCTTTTTAAGAAAGATGAAATCAGAAATATAAATCTCGCCTTAAAAATCAGTTTAAATTAAAGGGTACTATGAAGAAATTACTTCGAAGAACTTCATTTATTCAGGTGCCGTGCTGTAAAATATCTTAGGTTGTAAAGGAAGAGGACTTATAACCTGGTGAACTAAACAAAGATTAGTTTGCTAGCTAATAAGTTCTTCAGTAAAATTCAACTTGTTTATTCTCTATTCTCTTTTATAACAGATAGGTCTCTTTTGATGACATTCATTGAAACAAAGACTCTCTTTTAATGAAGTTGTTTTGTTACAGCACTAGTCTTTATATATACGAAGTGTAACTACATATTTTTATATGATAGGTTTATAATGACTTTAGTAAAAAGAAGTCATAAATCATGACAAATGTAAGAGATAGTGATGGTTAATACATTGTAGTTACTGGTAATCACTTAGGACATAACTTGAATTGTACTTATTTTTTTCTTTTATTGCTCAGAGCAATAAAATCAGTACGACTTCCAAATCAGTACGACTTCCAGGATCTCCTGGCCTCAGCTGTTTACAGTAAGTTTGAGTTAAACAAAGGTATTTTCAACAATTCTGAAATATATGCCAATTGTTCTCAATCCTGGCTGCACGTTAGAATCACAGGAGAGTGTTTTATAAAATACTGATGTCTGGGTCTTACCTTCAGAGATCCTGGTTTTATTGCTCTTGTGTAGGGCTCAGGCATCTGTACTTTTAAGAATTTCCTAGCTGATTCTAAAGTACAGTAAGGTAGAAACCTCGGACCCATGCAGGGCTTTAATAATAGAAAATTCAGGTCCTGTGAAAAGCTTTTTGTTTATTCAATTCTTTCTGATTTTGCCCTCTTAAAAGCAGAATCTGCTTCGGTGACTTAAGAAATGTTGATTGCAGTCATAAATAAAAGCACACTGTTATAGAAATACAGAATGGGTTTCCAATATTGGTTTCCATAGAGAGAGCTGGCACTCGGTTTTCTTCTTGTTCATAAACTTTTTATTCTATAATTCCTCTTCCTGAGCTGGACCTCTTCAGACAGCAGTCCATTCTCCAAATTTTGCTATTAATAGAAATTAAAATCTACCTATTCAACTCTTCCCCACATTTTTTGATCTTTTGAAGTTGGTTATCTGTTAAGTGAGAAGCCAATGTGTTCATAGGAATTTTCATTATGGTCTTTCTAATTCCTTATTCCTTAGGAGCAATTCCAACAGTTATTAATAATTTTATATAAGGGAACCACTTTAATAATAAAATATTCAGGTCCTGTGACAAGACAAAAGGATATAACTTGGGGATCTGAATCCTCAATCTTCATCACAAAGCCAACAATGTAAATATCCCTAAGAATAGAATAATTTAACGGAATCTTTAATCATGATCCATATTGTCATATGCTAATACTACTAACAACAGTATTTTTACAACTCCTTTCAAAGGCACAAATTATGGTGTATACTTTACATATGCCCCTTCAATAAATGAATGAATAAATGAAAAGCAAAATATATATCTGAAAAAAATGTGCATTTTGAAAGCAAACTTTGATCAATAAAAGTGATTAATACAGAAAAATTGACACAGTCTTTTTAATTTGGGGGATTCTGTACCTTTAGTAATAAGTAGAATTCAATGCCTTTAATATTTGAAAAAGAGGCACCAGTAAGTCAAAATTATAATACTGGTAGAAAGATTAGATTACAAGGTAAATGTGTCTAAATAGTTTTCAATTTTTAAAGAATATGAGCAATTTTAACATCACTATTTTTAAGTAAAGCATTTTTGTTGTTATTGTTATGAGTTAGTTACATACCCTGGCAGATGGCACTTTGGCTTTGATGCCTTTCCTTAACTCAAATTCAGGAAAAATGCTGAAAACAAAAATATTACTATCTGCTCCAGCAGTCACCAAAAAACGGTCATCAAAGCTAGTAGAAATGCCTTTAATACATCCATAAGTACTGTCATGTATATTAAAGTGCCAGTAGTTCTCCATATTTTTCAATGAAAGATCATTCTCATTTAGGATATAGACTCGAATTGCTCCATCTTGCATTCCACAAAACATCATATCTTGGTTAATACTATGAAACAAAAAGACAGTGAATTGTTTTCATATTAATCTAAAAATAATGTTTAATTTTAACTTATTTTAAAAATGACTAAATTTTTAATAACAAATGTGTTGTGGATTAAATTTTGTCCCCCTCGAAATTTACATGTTAAAGCCGTAACAAACTATGGAAGCCCTAGAAAACTGATACAAAAGGGTAGTGGGGGTGGGGGGGAAACCAGTTTGAAAGTTAGAGCTATTATATTTGGTCTGCAAAAGAATGACTCACATACATGCTTAATTCACAATTATTAAAGGACTAATAATTCAATTCATTTCTCCAGAATCACTGTAACCCTAAACTTTCATTATCCGACCGCACAGTAGAATTCTCCTAAGTAACTGAGAGTAAATCTATACAATTTAACTGTGTAATAAACAGAAATTTTGACAGAATATTTGATAGAGGGGATTGAAATAATTTTAGGATTAGCTTTGATACTATTTATTCCTTTAATTGATTTTGCATGGTTTGAGTACCCCTATATTTGGACAGATCTTTAAAAATTGACAATGTTCATAATGGACTAAAATATAGACACTAATGAGTTATAGTTCTTTAAAGCTTTCTGAAATTCTGTTCACCTGAAAGTGATAGTATGAATGGGATTATCCTCTGTATCCTCAAGAAAACGGAAATCAAAAGGTTCATCTTTCTTTTCTGTGATATCACTGTTTTTGTCATATGTAGGGAACTCACAGTGATAAAGAAAACCAGCATCATAGCCATCCTGGAAAAGAGATAAATAACATAGAAGGTGATACTTGTGTATAAGACACATATGACCACATGAGAAATTTTTGATTATTTCAAATTTTTAAACATAAAAGAGGTATAGGAGAAAGATCACTTCTGACTACCTACTGAATTCCATTTTATTTCAAGTATTATTCTGAATAAGTAGTATTTAACAATAGAGTTTTATAGGTCAGTGTAGGGTGCAAACGAGTAAATGAGAAATGGACTGGTCTTCACAGGAAGTGAAGCCTAATTTCAAGTCATCTCAATGATGAAAGTGATCTAAGATTACTAGCTGCTTTCCAAAACCAAAAATAAATCTCCAGGATTTATACACAGAGAGACTTGAGCTAGTGCTACAGTTTTTCACATACAAGGTCTAACATTCAATTTAAAAAACTAGGCATATTACCGAAGACAAGACTTGATTGATAATCAAAAGAAAAAACAGATCAAAGAAACAAAATCACAAGAGGTATTGATAGAGGTGTTTTCTAAATGGATTGCATTTCAAAAAGACTCTTGCTTTTGCCTCTCTAATGCTCTCTCTGACATTTAGGTTTTGAATGCCATGGTATTTTCGGTATTTGCAAGCATCCTTAACAAGCAATGCTCTCATGGCTGTCCTGTTTTAATGGTGTAATTGTGTTTGACTTACAAAAGTTATACTTGCTTGGTAGACAAATGGAAAATCTCCTTAAATAAAATACACTGACAAAAATTGTTTGCCTACATCACTAATAATAGATGGTAGCCTCTGGAATGCTACCATGTTAAAAAACAGGCTATATATCATCTGCTCATCTATTCACATCTCTGTTAATCATCAATAAACATTTATTGATAAAAAAAACAAAACAGACTTCAAAATAACTATGATTAATATATTTAAGAAATTTGAAGGCACTATAGAAAATTTTAGAAGTCAACTGGAATCTATAAAAAAGTAAATGGAAAACATAAAAATTCTAGAACCAAAAAATTATGGAAATTTAAAATTCAATAGATTGGTTTAAAAGCAACTGGACAAAGCTAAAGATAGAATTATAAAGCTGGGATAGAGATTAGAAAAGAACAGACTAAAGCAGGAAAGAGAAAAGGATGAAAAATACCAAAAAAAAAAAAGGCATGTAAGATACATATGAGACATAGTGATAAAGGTTACATACGTAAAATTGGAACCCCAGGAGAGGGTAAAATGGTGGCCCAGAATCAATACTGTGGTAGGTAATGGCTGAGTATTTTATAAAACGGAATAAAAATACGGTAAAATTCAAGAAATGCTGTGAACCACAAGCAAGATAAATGTGAAGAAATTACACTTTTTAGCACAAAACTTTAAAAACAACCAGAGGAAAAAGGATACATTAGGTTTCAAAGAAATAATAAAAAGATGCAGCTGGCAGAATAAAAGACAAAATGTAACAAAAAGATATCAAAGTTTTGAAAAGAAAATATATCCAGAAAAATTTTTAAATAGGCAAAATAGACACTTTAAAACCAAACCAAACGAAACCAAACCAAAACACTCTAGAGATTGTTTTGATAGATAGAGATTCTATCACTAACATACCTACACCAAAGAAAATATCAAAGTCTATCTTTTAGGCAGAAGATGTAATTACAAAGATATAGAAAGAAAGTAATATCAAGAAAAAGGATAAACCAAAATGATATCAAGAGTAAAAACAATAGTAAAATGCTTTGGGGGGACATAAATACATATATAAAAATAAAACACATAATGAGGGGAGAGGGAGGATACCTGGCATTAAAGTGCTCTAAGATCTTTTATCCTCTGGAACTAAAGAATAAATTTATATCAAATTATATTAAGGATGCATATTAGGATCTTTGGGATCACTTCTAAAAGAATTTTAAAAATGTATAACTAATAACCTAATACAGGAGGAAACTTGGGGGAAAAAACTACCTTAATCATCCAATAGAATGTGGAAAAAAGAACACAGAATTGGTGTGATAAAAAGAAATAATTACTAAGATGGTAGATTTAATCTTAATGTAATTGGATATAGTACTCTATTAAAATAAAAACAAAGATCATCCTACAGAATTAAAAAAGAAGCCTAACCATAAGCTGCTTATAAGAGACATACTTTGAAAATAAGGGTATCAAAGGCAAAGGAAAGAGAAGAATCATTAACAACTCTGAGTTTTTTCTTAGTAAGTAGATGGATGCTTGTCTCATTTACTGAGATAGAGTAGGTTTGCATGAGACAAGTATGGTTTAAAAGTTATATTTTGGATATGTTAATTTTGAGGTGCCAAGGAGAGATGTCAAGTTGGATAGATATACAAGTCTGAATATTAGAGAAGTCAAGAATAGAGAAAAATTTGAGATTCACTGGCACATAATTGATATTTAAAGCCATGGGACTAGAGGAAGTCACCTAGCAAGAAAGAAGGGGTCCAAGAGCACATCCTAGAATACTTCAAATTTCAACCTTGTTCAGCAAATGAGAAGCCAGCAAAAGAGGCTAAAAAGAAATAATCAGTACACTGTCATGTCTCAGAAGCCAGGGAAAGTGTTTTAGAAGGATGGAGGGTCAGCGCTATCAAATATTTCTGAAAGGTCAAATGAACAGAGAAATGACCACTGAGCTTGGCAATATGGAAATCTCTGATGAAGTGAAGTGGTGGGGTTAGAAGCCCAACTAGAATGGGTTAAGGACCAAACAGGAGGTTAAAGTTGAAGTCGATGACGACAAAAACTATTGAAAGTTTTCCTACAAAGGAGCAGTAAGGTGCGGGGGTGGGGGGAGGCAAGGGGAAGAAAGAGAGGTTAAGGGGAAAAAAATTTAAGTCCTAGAGCATGTGTATGTGCTGATGATAAGAACTGAGTAAACAGAGAGAAGCTGATGATTATATAAGACCAGATGGCTTATTTCAGGAGCAAAATCTCTGAGAAACTGAGAAGGGATGAGGTCAAAAGGCCATCTGAAACAGTGTGTCCTTGGAAAGTTGCAGGGGACCACTAACGATTTGTAGCAATAGGCAAAGTAGATAAAACTTGTATGGATCCCTCTAGAGCATTAGATCTGATTGAGACAAGATAAGGAAATTCCATCTGATTGCTTTTATTTTATTTTTTTCAGTAAAATGTGAGATGAGGTTGTCAATAGAAAGTGAGAGAAGGTACGAAATGCTTGAGGAGAAGAAAGGATTAAAGCAATAATTTGGAAAGTAGGAAAGTGGACATGGCTGGGCAGTAGAACCAGCCTGCAGTGTGAGTACTAATTTGAGATCTGTGGTCATGACTTCAATATAAGATTGGTGTTCTACAGCATCTGCTTATGTGTAGGCACAAAGTTGGCAAGTAAGCGGATCAAGCCGGGTTAGAGTCACTGCCTCTATACCTTAAACTTATGGGCAGGTGTAGTTTAATGGTTAAGAGCATGGACTCTAGACCCAGACTGCCTGAGTCCAGATCCTGGTTCCATCTCTCATATGTGACCTTGGATATGTTATTTAACCTCTCTATGCCTTGGTTTCCTCTCATGTAAAATGCAAATAAAAGCAATTATTTTATAGGGTGGTTGGGTAGATGACTTAGAATGGTAGAATAAGTAAGTTTCCATATTTAGCAAATAAAAATACAGGATGGATGCTAACTAAACTTATTGTGATAATCATTTCACCATATATGTAAGTCAAATCATTATGCCGTACACCTTAAACTTACACAGTGCTATATGTCAATTATATTTCAGTAAAACTGGGGAAAAGATTTTAAATACAGGATGCTCAGTTAAATTTGAATTTCAGATGAACAAAAAATATAGTTTTAGAGTAAGTATGACCCAGGTGATATTTATTTTTGCAACTCTTAGAGTAAGCAGTAAATATGTTAAAGCATAATTTTTACATATATGTTTCAAGGAGACTAGAACTCTATTACATTATATTACAGTTGTTTCGGTACCTCTCTCCCACATGATTATGAGGACACTTCCTGAGGACGGGAACCATGTCTTATTTATCCCTTTACCCCTTGAACCCCTCACGAGAGTAGCCATTAATAATTGTGTCATAAAACAGAGAAGACGAAGGGTAAAGGCATTAATAAAATGAAGTTCTAAGTTGCCTCCATCACTACTTTCTATTCTTCTTGTCTCCTTAGATGTTGCTATCAAAGATATATTAGGAAAAGTTGAAGAGGGAAGAGGTTAACTCTCATCGCTCCCTATAACAATAGTCCTTAGCTAGCCAGTGTCCTGGCCTGGCCAGAGACCTGGACCAGTTATGATTTAGTAATAATCTTTCCCATATACTTTTATGTCAATTATTACTTTTTTTTGAATGGAATTGAAATTTGTGACAAATTTATAATAAACGAAATCTTGCTTTGCAGGAGATCAATAAAATGTTTTATAAGACTAGAATATATAATAAGAGGATGTAATTGTCACATCATTGTGACAGTCCCTGGTACTTGTCTCCCCAGTATCTATTTTTCTATTCTTCTTTTGTAGCCTAGTCCCAATTTTGTTCAGGATGGCAACGTGGTCATCTAAAAACAGTCATCTTCCCAGACTTCCATATGGCCAAACATCATAACTATAGATAAAATGTAAGCAAAAGTCTACTGGATAGAACTGCCGTTATTTTCAAAATACTAAAATTTCTTTTCAAAATTTAAAAGAAACAAACTTGGCCAGAAAACCTCCTTAGCCTTTTGCCCTTCTACCTTCGATTCTTTTCCCCTTTGACCTTCTGGAACATAAATGGTCGTCATAGATGATAACAGATATAATAAGTAGAAATATAAGAGAGATATTAAGATTACGTAAAAATAATGTAACTCATATTCATCGAAATTCACATCTTTAACAGTAGTTAATAAGTGAAGTCTTACCATAAGAGAAAATTAAGAATGAATGAGTTTGGCATGAGTGGTGAGGCCCCAACAGCAGCTGTCCCCGTGGCAGAGGCCGGGACAGCAACGGAGGCCCTCGCATCCCACCCATCGCTGCCCCCCCACCACCACCACCACCGCTGCCGCCAGGGAGGAGGCCTCCACGTCCCTGCCTGCCAAGCCCACCCAGGGGGCCAGCTCTGCTGCCACCCACCCCCAGGAAGTCCCTCCAAAGCCAGCACAGGATAAGAAAAGGGATTAACGGTTCCTGGTCCTCCTCATCCACTCCGGCCCTTGGCAACCAGCGCCCCGCGCTACCCTGGGTCCCTCGCCTCTCCTCCTTGTTGCCCTTTCCCTGGACAGATTGGGCCGAGGCGGCTGGGGGCCTCCTTAGACCAGGGCCCAGTGTGTGGTGTAGGGACTGGGGCAGGCCAGAGCACATGGTTTGTCTGTCCGTCTGTTCCTGTGTTTCTGGCCATCTCGCCCCGCCAGCACCTTTGGGAATCATGGTGAAGTGAAGGCGGCGCTGCTGACGGGGTGAGCCAGGTGCGCGAGAGGCCAGGGCCCCTTTGGGATGCCCATGGCCATCCATCATCTTATCATCTTGTCCCTCGTCCCCCGACTGTCCCCCTCCTCTCAGACCACTGCCCTTTAATACAGTCTGGATTTAATAAATTCACGTGGGAGTTTAACTTAAATAATAAGTAATAATAATAATAATAATAACGACTATTCACAATATTGAATTAGGGCTGAGATAAAAAAATATTTATTATTACTCACCAAAGAAACCCAGAACTTCCCTGGTCCAGAGTAAAATCCACAGAGGATGTGACAGGGGGTGGATGGAATAAAGATTTCGGGTAATGGCTCTTCCTCTTCCTCCTCCTCCTCCTCTTCCTCATGGAATTCCTTTTCTCCATCTTCTCCCATCGTGGCTGCTAGCTGTTTCCTCCTTTCTTCCTTTTCCTTCTCCTTCAACTCCTTTTGTTTCTTTCTCTTCTCAATTTCTATTAATCTCTTTTGCAAAAGAAACATTAAGAAGATGTCAAACAGCTGCAATTCAATTATTCATTTACACTATTGGGGATGACAAAGAAAGTGGAAGGAAGATAGGGTCCTAGAAAAATTCACAGCTCTGATGTAACAAGTAATGTCATTTAAAATAATTATTAATTTGGGAATACATTTTTATCATTAAATATTTTAAATCATTAGAATAATTTTACTTCTATATTACCCCAATTGATCCTGGTTTTACAGAAATTATTTTGTCATTTTTTTTCTTACTAAGGAAGCTAAATACAGTTTCCCTCAGAGTCTGTCACTGTCGGCCCATGTATTTATGTGGACTGAAATAGTCCATGAGGAAAGTTGTTTCTATTTCTAGTAATACTGTGATTTAGGCCCTCAGCAGCTATCAACTGGCTATTGCCAAAGGTCACTAAGACTGGCATCCCTACCTCCCATCTTTTACTTCTTCCTGTTTACCCCTCAAAACCATCTTTCTAATTTATATGATCTTGTCATATCACTCTCTTCCTCAAACACTCACAATGAATCCCAATGGTCTAAGAAATAAACTGAAACACCTTGGCTGGTATTTAAGGAACCCCATGTGTTGGTCACAGACTCTTGCCACATCCCTGCACAAACTGCATCCCTGTTTCATCAGTCCATTCTTCATTTCCCCAAAACACCAAAAATAAGTCAGCATTTCCTCAGGACGTTTTCCCAGCTTTTATGGCCTTCCTCCTCATTTTCATCCTTTCAAAATTCTTCCCAGTCTTTACGTACTAAATGTTACCTCTGTGCAGTCATTTTTGTCCTCTCATTCCTCCATCGGAACTATATATTCTTTATTCTGCATGCCTTAAAATTATTTTCTTTGCAGTGTGATTTAAATATTTATTTACCACTGACTTTAAATACAAGGTCTATGTCTTATTCTTCTTTGTATCTTCTTAGCACTTAACACAGGATATGTTATATTCTAAGAAAAAAAAAATATTAGAAGATAATGCTTCAAGGATATCTCATACCAGAATCTTAGATTTAACACTTGAGAAATGGAAACATTTTATGTGCATGTCTTTGATTTCATAGGAAACTACATTATGATCTCCCTCCTCTTCCTCCTTCATGGTTGGAAATGGAGCTTCAAGAATATAGCCATTCTTGCAGATAATCAGTAAAGTACTTTCAGGCTAAAAGACAAAGATTAAACATATCATTTTCACTTAGGTAAATTTTTAGAAGCATAGTTCAAAAGGATTACAAACCAGGGGAAATATAATTGCTACGTATACTAACTATTTTTGAAAGATACTTAATTCCCAGCTGCAGTTATTGTGGGTAATAAGTCAATCTTATTAATTACTATACACAATTGATACCAAGTATTATATCATTAATTAAAAAGTTAAGTGTTAAAATTAGATTTATATTTGTTTTCCTTATAGATGTCATACATATTTCCTGAGACAAAAATGTAGTTGTGAAACATGTTAGCCCAAATGGCAGAATATTAAAATTAGGACCGCAAAGGAAAATCTGCAGTATGTGGATAGCATATACAGTCTCAGCTTCTTTTGATGGATTATTCTCTATCTGCTTGAGTTCATTAAATGTGGATATTCCCAAAGTTTTTGTCCTCTTCCCTCTCCTCCCTTCTCTCCCTCCACAAACGTTCCCTGGACAATTTTATAGCCACCTCAAGGTTTCGTTACCACTCACATGCAATTCCAAATTAATCTCTCTAGGCCGGACCTCTCTCTGAGCTCCAAAATCATGTTTTAAACCATGGTTGGGAAATCCCCATCTCGATACTCCATACATACCTTATTCAAAATGTTTATTCATTTAGTTATTTTATTGTATAGTTATTTATTATATACTTACTATGTACTCAGCATTTTGTAAGGTGCTAGAGGTAAAATTATAATAAAAGAGGTACTGTCTCTGTTATTATAGCGCTTACCTCTAATGGGAGAGCCCATCATTTAAGAAATCATATAAACAAATGTAAATTGTAACTGCAACAAGCATTGCAGAGGTACTGTGAGAGCAAGGAGGTTGTGCAAAGCTTCCTGAGAAGATGGCACCTATGTTTTAGGTGAAGGATGAGTAGAAGATAATTAGACAATGAGTTAAGGGAGAGTTTGAGGAAGCATGCTATGTAAAGGAAATACCATGTGCAAACATCCTGAGGCACATTGGGCTTATAAAGAAGTTGTGGACTTGGAGAGTATCACCTAGGTCACAAGAACAGAGAAGAGAGATTGGGACAGAGCCTTAAAGAAACAACACTCAATGGCTGGGTGAGGAAGACTGGGAAGGAATGATTACAAGATGTAGGGGAGGGAACCAGAAGAGCATGATGTCATAAAAGTTAATGGGAAATGGTATTTCAAAGAGGAAATAAGGGTCAACTGGATCAAATGATGCTAAGAGGTCCTGAAAGATAAAAAATAAAAATGTTAGGTGGATATCACTGGTGTCTTTAGGAGAGCTGATTTGGTGGAATAATGAGACTAGAAACTAGTAAAAAAAGTGTAAAGGAGACAGTAGGATGTAAGAAAATAGAGTCTGTGGGAATGGTCAATCCCCTTGAGAAAACCAGGAAGAGAAAGATGGAGCAGTAGTTGATCAAAGAATTTATATTTTGTAAGTGGGAGAGACTTGAACATATCCAGTGATCCAGTAAACATGTTAAGTTAAATTTCTCTGAAAGAAAAAATAAATAGTGTGAAATCTTGAAAAAAGGAGAGAGTGGAATCCAAAGGTCAATAGGCAGAAATAGCCTCAAGCAGGAAGGAAGACAGTATCTCTAATTGTAAAAGAAGAAAAGAGGAAGAGATGGGCTCAGAGGTAACAGGATTTTATGTTTGGTGGTGGGAAGATGAAAGAGTTCCTACCTGAGGGCTCTTAGTTTTGCTATGAAATGGTTGATGCCGAGAATGAGAGTGCTAGTTAGAAGCTTGAAGCTTTGAGGAGTGGAGAAGTTTGTAAATGATCATTGTGGGTGAAAGATAGAGTTGATAAGAACAGTGTTATAGGATTGCTGAGCCATCCCATGAATTGCGTTAAAGCTATTTGAATCACTAAATTCTGGAGGACCTAATCTTCCCTGATATATGAGCATCTCCAGATACCTTTGGCTGATCACCATAGGCAAATATAAATCATTTAAGGTCATTTAGGGATGGATTTTTGCCAGATGGAGATGAAGAAAAGACAGAGGGACAAGAGAGATCAAGGCAATAAAATAGCGTTATTGAGCCTTATTGAAATGAATAATTATGAAATTTAAGCTGGATATGGAAGTAAAGACAAGAGTGGACTAATGGGTTGGAGAAAGCAAATGGTGAATGAACAAGAGGTCCCTGCCATCAGAGAACAAATGGAGCAGGAGTAGCCAAATGAAAAAGGTGGAAGAGAGAGGGATTGAAGTCAGAATGTGAGCTATTTGAATACCTGACATTTAAGGTTGAGTTCTTACAAACTGTTGTGGTCTGAATTGTGTCCTCCCCAAAAAATTCATAAATAGAAGTCCTAAATACAGAATGTGACTGTGTTTGGAGAAAAGGCCTTTAAGTAAGTAATTATGTTAAATTAATGTCATTAGGGTGGACTCTAATCTAGTATGATCGGTTTCCTTGTAAAAAGAGATCATTAGGACACAGAGGAATACCTATGTAAGGACACGGTAAGAAGGTGGTGGTCTGCAAACCAAGGAGAGAGGCCTCAGAAGAATCCAAATCCACCAGCCCTTGATCTTGCCTAAAGAACTGTGAAAAATAAATTTGCTGTTTAAGCCACTCAGACTGTTGTATTTTATTAGCAAGCCCTCACAAACTAATAAACTAGTGGTAGCTGTGCTCAGTGAGTGGCTGTGAAAGTGCATGGATGAGCTGTAAAGACCACGGAAAATGAGGAAGTAAAGAAGCTCAGAGCCTGGTGCTGTTCAATCAATTACACACAGGGTGTTACCATCATTCAGAATTGTTCACACTTTGAAGAGAAAAATCACTATATTCTCAAGATTTTAATAAAGTTGCAGAATTATCCAGGTGATCAAAAGGTAACAGCAATATAAAGAAAGAGAGGGTGATATAGCTGAATTAAAAGAGCATCAAAGAAGCAATGTTTTTATCTTAATTTTATGAGTTTCAAGTCAAAAAAGTAATAGATAAATATTGCCACAAATAAAATCATACTATAGGATGACATAAGCAATATGGCAGTGTGAGAGGACCTCCAGGTCTCCCCTCTTGAAGTTACAACAAGTTGGACGGCTATAATTCAACAAAGGATTCATTACTCAACATTCAAACATAACTGAGATATAAGAGCATTGAAATATCTGCACATTGGAACAAAAAGGGGAGACAGGACAGGAGGGAAGACACAGATGGGAGCCACGGATACAATCCAGCACTCGTCACAGCCCCATCAGATGCAATAGCAGTGAAGGGTCAGGGGGCAGCCCCCATTGGGCAAACCAGAGGGGCAGAGACAGAAATCAGGCTTGGGCGTCCAGCACACACTGAATCTGAGCCCAGGATAATGGGCAGAGAAGCAGTGCAAGGGGTGGCAGCATTCTACAAACTGCGACCACAAGACAAATCTGCAAACGCAGGAATCTGCCCGGTCCCCACCTCCTATAGCCCACCAAGAAGTAAAACACTCACTCACAAGACTGAGAAAAAGCAGAAAAAACTTTCCAGCCTAAGTGGTCTATATTCACTGCATCTAAGCCTACTAAAAAGAACAGAGCTTCAGATGTGCAAACCTGCTTCCCTCCATCTACCCCACAGCAGAGTCTAGTAGAAGCAGTTGGATAAACTCAGACAGAGCAGTTCTGCCTGTGGCTTCTGGCCACAGAAACGTGGCACTGGGAACACGCAGGCCAGGAGACACATTGCCCACCACTTCTCACTATGGGGTAGTTCCCCAAGACCAAAGAGACCAAGTAATAAAGGGGAAGCCCACCTCCTCAGGGAATATGGGGCATTCTCCACAGCTGAGGTGACACTGCCCCTCACAGATCCAAGAAGCCCTAGTAGAGAAGGTAAGAGAAAATAAAATCTTGTGCTTCAGTACCACCTTTTAGAAAACAAAAGAAAAATCTCTACTTATCAACCTGCTAAACAGTGAAGAGTCAAATACTAGAAGGAGGAAGAAAGAGGAGGGAGGAGGGAGAACACCACCGAATTAAAATAACAGACAGAAACACAAGGACAAAGAAACAATGGAGACACCGAGCTATCAGAAAAAAAAAAAAAAGATGAAATGGCTACACAGAAACCTAATATTTCAATAATCACTCTAAATGTAAATGGACTGAACTCACAATTAAAAGGCACAGAGTAGCAGATTGGATCAAAAAACAAAACCCAACTACTTGCTGCCTTCAGGAGACACATTTCAGCCGCAAGAAAAAAAGCTCAAAGTGAAGGGGTGGAAAATGATACTACAAGCAAATGACACCCAGAGAAAAGTGGGTGTAGCATACCAATATAAGATGAAATAGATTTCAAAATAAGAAGGTAATAAGAGGCAAAGATGGACATTTTATAATAATAAAGGGGACAATACATCAAGAAGACATAATACTTAATATAAATGTGCCCAACTTGAGATCGCTAAAATATATAAAGCAACTACTAACAGAACTAAAAGGAGAAACTGACAAAAATAAAGTTATAGTAGAGACCTAAGTACACCATCGACAACAATGGATGGATCCTCTAAACAGAAAATCCGTAAGGAAACATCAGCCTTAAATGACACAATAGACCAAATGGACATAATCGATACTTACAGAGCTTTCATCCCAGAACATCAGAATATATATTCTTCTCTAGTGCATATGGAATATTCTTAAGGATAGAGCCTATGCTGGGGCACAAAACTAGCCGCAACAAATTTTAAAAGATTGAAATCATACCAAGCATATTCTCCAACCACAATCCTTTGAAATTGCAAATCGGTAGCAAAAAAGAAAGCTGGGAAAACCACAAGTATGTGGATATTAAACAACATACTACTAAGCAACAACTGGGTCAAAGAAGAAATAAGAGACCAAAGATACATAGAGACAAATGAGAATGACAATATGACATATAAAAATTTGGAGGATGCAGCAAAAGTGGTAATAAGGGAAGTTTATAGCATTACAGACCTATCTCAAGAAACAAATATC